AGCGGCAGCGAGTGCGACGCCATCGCATTCGCTGTGGCGCAACGTCGGCGAGATGAAATGAAACGGGTCGGCACGGAACGGATCCCCTCACCGATTGCAACCACCCTCCATCGTATTCTCTCTGGCTTCAGTGCGACGCAGTCTGGAAGGGTGTGCCAACAAAACGAATCCGACGAAGGTACAGTACGAGAACTTTCCTTCGTTTGAGCTTACTATGTCGAACATACTTCGTACGAGTTGTGTATGGTAACTCGTAGTAGTACGTACGGTACGTTACCACCACTACTACGAGCTCGAACGGTACTCATTGGTACGTACCCCTGAACACTGGTACGAATGAAACGAAAGGATGTTACTCCCAAAATCTGAATCCAAGCAGGGCACCTGCCTCGCGGTCAGGGAAACAAAGCCAATGAGGAGCGAACGAGTGAGTCATCGTCAGTCAGCGAATCAGCTCGCAAGTGTGAATGACCCCCGTTTCGACAACAAAACAAAAAAGATACCTTCCGTCCCCCGAATTGAGAAATCCTTACCAGTGCTTCGATTCATCTAAACCCTACGAGGGCACATTTTTTGTGTAGTGTACTACAGTAGCAAGAATTCATGTGGAATGCAAATATGATTAATAGAAGTATTATGTAGATGTAAATATGTATTGAAAAGAATTTCGTCCCAACAAGCCAAGGAATGTCAATCATCTCGGATAGGTTTCTTCTCGACAGAGGCGGAAGGTGCTGGTGCTGCAGCCGAGTATTCGTTGCTTTTGTGAAATATGTAATATGTAGTGTGTAGTATGTAGTTTGTAGTAAGTTGTATATCATGCGTATCGGCATCGTTGTGTGCGAAGATAGTAAGAAAAATTAGGAGCAAGGATGGAAGGATCGAAGGACGGCCTGCTGTCCGAGCCCAAAGGAAAGTCGTCATGGTGTTCGATCGGTAACAGCGGTTGTGCTGCCGTCGTTCCTTTACTCCTGCGTAGTGGTGGCAGAGGGACCAGCACCATTGTGGTGCAGCATGCCTCCACTCGCGGCGTTGCCGTCCGCTGCGATGGTGACCGCCACGGCTTCGTTGTATTCGGTGACGGAGAGGGGTTCGAGGCCGCAGTCGATGGCGTGCTCGAACCTGTTGCCCCCGAGCCAATAGAGCTCCGAGCATAGCGAGTCGCCAATGTCGTCGAGGGCGGAATCGCTCATTTCCCCGGCCACGTCCAGCCTGGAATACAGATCGAAGCCGCACCCCCAGGTGTAGTTTCGGGGTCGGGGTCGGTGGGTGGCGCCACCGACGATCTTGTCGATGGTATGGCCCTTGTCGCTGAGACCCTCGAGGGAGTTGATGGAGTTGTGGAGCGCAGAGTTCACATCGAGCAGGTCTTGGTTGTTCCAGGGCCCGCAAGCGATGCCCGACAAACCAATCCTGAAGTGTCTGCTGGCGGAAGTTGCGGCAGCATCAGAAGCCACCAAAGTACCGTAGTAAAACGGAAGAGATGCTTCCACCAGAGGCGGGGAGGCGAGTCCCGTAGGAGACGAGCCTTCGTTCTTGTCGAGGGCCTCTCTCTCGTTCTCGTTATGGCTCGCGACAGCCTCCTTTCTCGTTTCCTTGAAGGCAGCAATGGCGGCGACGGTGGATTCGAATTCGGCCTGGCTGATGGGATACACGTCCACTCGCTCGATGTATTCAAAATAATCGTCTCCCTCTGCCACACAGGTCCCTTCGATGAGATGCTTGCGCATTGCATCGGCAATGGCGTTCATGCTGGCCTCACCAAAGACATAATCGGAGGCGATTTCTTCGTCCTTGGCCTTCTTGGTGTCGTAGGTATTGAGCAGGAAAGACCCGGAGACAACTTTCAGAGCATCGTCGTCGGGACCTTTTTCGATTGGTGTGATATTGGCGTTTTGTAAAACACAAAGATAGGGCGGTGAGGAGTTCGGCACAGTACAAGCCACTGATGAAAAGTAACAGGCAAAGAGGCAACGCAGCAGATCCACCACCCATTGCCACAACAACAATGCAACACCAAAAGCAATCGGATACGCATGCATTCAATCCAAATCGCAATCTCGCTGCAATCGCACTGCAAAGCTAAACTCCCAGCTTTCATTCCTATCGTTTGCCGTGCTGTTGACACCAGACTTACACAAACGGCACATGCCCCCACCGTCGACTTTCCAATAGGTAGCCCATTTCGTTTTTCGCTTGTACAGGGGCGCCCGCCGGGGAGGCGGGGGAGTGAGAGGACGGACGGGGATGTAGCGGGGGCGTCTGTACTTGCGGCGCTTGGACCAGTCGATGAAGCTGGCTCGCTTGGAATCCTCTGGTCCGTCGCCGTAGTCGGCATCGTTGCCCGGGTCCTCGTCGGTGGCGACGATCTCCTGCCCCGCAAGGTAGATCCCGTCCTTGTCCCCGTGGACTTCGTCAAAGGCGGTGTGGAAGGCGCATTCCACCACGGCTTGCTTCTCGGGAGTCATCCCGTCGAGGTCATCCAGCGCGTAGCCGTCGAGGCCGACCACGAGATACGACCGGATGCTCATCAGATCTTCGTCGCGGACGGTTTCGGACGAAAGCGAGGTGCTTCCGATGTTGCTGGCCCGGAGATTCGCTGCCGTGCCGTACCGGAAGGAACCGGCGAGAAGGAGGAGAAAGCACGAGAGAAGTGTTGGCTTGGTCATGGTGAGATAAGATCGGATGGGATTGGATTGGATTGGATTGGATTGGATGGATAGAAGTTTGGGGATGCAATGATCAGGCACAATGTGCGATTGTACTGTATTGGTGTTTGGATTTGCTTTTTCGGATGAGTGAAAATCGATTTTGTGAGAAGACAGTCCAAACACTCGAGATCGGGGAGAATGACAAAGCAGCCTGCCATTTGCGGCTTTCTTTCAGCTTTTTGGAACCTCGTCGTCCTCCGATCCCACGTATTCGATCGTAGGACCAGCCCGTGTGGCACCCCTTCTATCTAACATCGCACTGCTGGATTGGATCGTTCGAGAGAACAAGAGCAGTCGCAAAGCCAGAAGATTGGATTCGATCTTGCCAAGGTTTGGAATCTTGCCGTCATTGCTTCTTTGGAATCGTGCCGGAGTTGTGCAGCCGTGCGTAATGTAGGATCGTTCTACCTCCGACCATGGACAATAATCGTTCGACTATTGGTCGCGACAAGATCACCGACCGGCGACATGTCCTTGAGCGGTACTATATTGACAGACAGAGCGCAACAACCACTTCCTGGCAGTAGTGTGTTGCGTGTGAAACGGCATGCCCTCTCGCGCGAAAGACGAGCCTGACTATCAGCAAGACCCAAGAACAGAAACAATTTCAACCGAGCCACGATGAGTTTCTTTCAAAACCAAGCAACAAGATATTGATCGTGCGCAGTACTACAATGTTAGGGGCGATACCTGATGCGTGCGGTACCGTATGATGCGGTGCGATGTTGGATCACGAAAGATTTCGTATCTACCATGCTGCCCGTATTCGTTCCCGTTTTTTCCAACAAGAAGAAGCACGGGTCACAGTTCGATGCTGGCAAGCAATTGTACCGACTACGACTTCGTGTTCAGTCGTACAGTACCGTGTTGTATGCATTCCCGCACCGTTACGGGGTATGCATCGGGTACAAGTAGTGCAGAATGACAAAAAATGGTGATGCTCTCGAAAGTAGAAGCCTATTGGAAAGAGCAAGAACCTTCTCAGGGACATAACTCGGCAAGACGTGGGGCATCCAAGTTTGTCTTGGGTTTCTGTACGTACCGTTTGTACGGTCCGTACGACCACGAGTACGAGTATCCCGTACTGTACGGTACCTGAAAGTTCGAAAAAATGCGCGAGTGCGTAACGGTTCGTACAGTCTTGTACGTACGAGTACGTACGGTACGTAGTCGCTTTTATTATGATCATAATTTCCGACCCCGGATATTCTGTTGAATGCAAGATTCACCCCCTAATCATTAGTGACTAAACTAGGACTGAAATTACGATACAACAAGACTGCACATCATCAGCATTTCCTCTGGACTAATCAGTCAACTCCACCAGCAGGTTTACCAAGCTAGTACAAGAGGCTTCCAGTTGATCATAAAGGCAGTACTACTACACCATCATGGTGAAAGAAAATGGTGGTGGTACGGAAAGAAGAACATCACGAATGCTAGTGCTGAGGATGATGTTCTTCTTTCCAAAGCAAGAAAATCAGCAACCGCATCATCATGATGATCGACATGGCACCATTGAACATTTAGAAATGTCAGTAATTGTATAACAGTAATTCTACTAGAACTCTAGTATTCACAAAAATGAGCTGTGAAAAATAATTGATGCAGGTTATTTGGCATGCAAATGAGAGGTTAATCTCGTATGGACCTCCTGCTCCTCCTGCTTTGATCAAAAACTTTTCTTCAGACGTATTTGGAAACCATCGTCCTTTCCTTGTGACTCTCCCCTGCTATTCTAGAATTTGAATTGCCCGGACCGAATCCCTCAGATATCGTTCCAATCAATACAATCTGTGTCCACAGATTCAGTGGCATTGATTTGGTCCGCGTGATTGCACGACGTTTTCCCAAGGGATTCTGGTATTCGTCGTCGTTGCTTCTTGTCGTCGCACCCCACCCCACAAAGCATTGTCTCCGTTGGAACTTCCAACCATTCCTCCTCTCGTTGCGTTGACACCACCGTCGGTGTTGGGTCCCCTTCGGCCGGAATGTTTTCGGTGGTTATTTCGACGGGTGTGTTTTCCGCGTCCGCCAGAAGCATCGCAAAGCGGACGGATCCGCACCGGCCCAGGACGTCCCTGGCGATCGATTTCGCCGTGTCTCGGTCACAAGACACCGCGATCAGTCGCTCATCCACACCCCAGATGGGCTTCGTTGCCACCGTTTCCCAGTCGATCGGCCGGTGGGTTGTGTTGTCCGCCTTTGGAAGGGATACCGAACCCTCGTGGCCGTCGCTTTCCTCGCAGCTGCTTTGTCCGCCCTTCCGATCACCGCCGAGTCTTGACATTCCGGCAAGAAGAATTGCCTCGAAGAATTCCGGGTAGTTTGGCTTGAAGACCTCTTCCAGGAGGAACTCCACGAGTTTGGCGTCGTCCGGGACGCGCAGCGTCGAAAGGTCTACGACGACCCGGTCGGAATCGGAGCGTTTCTCGACTACCACGCACGGCTCTTTGAGGGCGTCGCACCGCTGCCGGTGCGTGTTCCAGACCGGGCTTCCCTTGCGTTCCTTCCGGTACCCGTTCCCCCGCACGGCGAGATATCCGTCTCGCTTCGCCCGATCAAAAATCTGCCGCTCCTCTCGGTTCAGCCGGTGGCATGTGAAGCGGGATCCCGTTCCCCGTTGCTTTTTAGCTCCCTTTCCGTAGCTCAGGTTTTCGACATCGTCGAGGTGGGCGCGGAAGACCTTGGCTCCGCGGTTTGATCCAACCATGGCGTCCGGATGGTTTGCCTGTAGTCGGTGTTCCTCGGATAGATTGTATCGACGATGTGTGTTCTCTGCGCTGTTGTGCGGATTTGTAGTATTTCCGTAGTTGGCATGTTGGTTATGTATGGAACGGAAAGGGTGCGTACGTATGAACGTACGTACAGTACGGAATCATGTTTGCAATGTGTTTTGCGTTTTGCCACTTGCCATGGTCCGTAGGCGTTTTACAGGGGGCTGCTGTAGAATGCCGTACGCTGTAAGGTACGTACGTACCTACTCCTTATTTGAAAGTATTGTACAGAACGTACGGTACCGTAACTCAGGATGATGTTTTCTATCTGAGCGACGAGCAGTCGTTGTCAATAGATTGTCAATAGATAGATACGAACCACATGAACGAACGGGACCATGGCGAGCGACGAAGACAAAAACAGAAACGAAGGAGAGCAGCCGGGGACAGAGGCAGCAGCAGAGACGGGAAAGACCACAGCCATGGTCGACGAGCCACTGCCACGAAAAGTCTACCAGGACGACTTTCGTCCCGGAAGGGGGAACGCTCTCCAGGCCGCCGTAGCTTCGGTCTTTGGGTCCGACCTGGCCGACGTTCCCAACTTTGTCGAGCGCCCCGAGGGGTACGAATCCGCGATTGAGATGTTTTGCCGCAATCGTAATTACTCCTGTGAAAAACGAAAACTCCCCGCAGAGGGCTCCGGCGTCGGCGGGACGCAAGGCCCGCCTCCCTCCGGCCAACGGCGGCGCCTCTGCCTGTTGCGGGGAAAGTCCCCCAGGGGTCCCTTTGGACACGTGGTGATAGCGAGAACCAGTGTGTCGGGTCCCGAATGTGTCCACCGGGGGGCGGTTTTTGAGATGGTGCACGACCCCCATCCCGACGAGTCATTTCTCGACGAAAGCGAGCCCTTCGGATGGTGCATGTTTTTCACTCCCATCGAAGAACAAGCAACGCAACTTACCAGTTAGCTCACTTGCTGCTGTAGCCAGTGTCATACCGAAGTTGCGAGGGTACATCGAACATAGGTATGGAAACGAAACCAGTTCGTTCTCGAGTAGCGCAGCGCACCCAAGGACGGTTAGGTTTGGTACCAATTGCCTCAATGGCTTGTTAATAGTTTCTTTGGCTGCCTCTTGATCAGCTCTTTTTGAGGCTCTATTCATAATGAATAATCACATGCTTGATTTGCACACGAGAGGCACCATTCAAACTCCAAGCCCGCAGACGGACAATGCCTATTCTTTGTCGATGCTCAAGGGCATACTTTGTGTACTTCGGTACTTCGGTGTCTCTCTGCTCTGTCCCTTGGGTTCTGTTGCGTTTCTTTCCTTCCCCGGGCAGTGCTTGCTCACTTGTTTGTGGAACTACACACGGGCAACAATCCGTCCGTGTGTCTGCCTTGATTTCGAATGCACACGCGAACTGCCCGATGGATGTCGTTGGACCAAATTAGTCTTTTCGGCCTYTCTTTCATTTACAGCGCCATACATTGTTGGTATTGTTCAGTATATAATATATTTTAATATTATTAAGTGTGTATGTGTAAACTCTATCGTGTAATGTATATTCATAACATGCATTTGGGTTCGCATCGTCTCCGAAAACTTATGTTAGGATCCGATTKACCCTTGTTCTTTCGATTTATTGAACTCGTCTAATCACTTGCTGTCAACAGACAAATGGGACGAATCATCGAAAGATAATAATGTAGCTTTGGTTTGGTTGCTTTCCAATCACTGTTATCCGAAAATAATTTCGTTGACCTTGTTGTTTGCATCGACGATCAGCTTAATGCGATGCACGTTGTAATTCCTCAGAATACAGTCGGGTTCACCAACATACAAACCCATATTCTGGGTACAGACAGCGACCACGTAGACGCCGCCCTCACCTGCATACCGTGGGTAAGCTTCTATGATGGCTGTCTYGACTTCTGMTGCGTCTGTTCCGATGAATTCCATTAGAAAGAGTCTGTCCACGAGGTTCTTTTCGGGTTTCAATAGGTCTTCCAAACTCAAGTCTCCGCCRTCATTGTYGACTCTGTTGACGTGGTYGAGTCTTCCAATGCAGGTGTTATCTTCCTTGTTCCATTTGCACCCGTTGTATCGGCACTTAATCTTGGCATTCTCCTTGTCTGTAAACGGGGAACATTGTTCGTCCGTCATGGCATCGACGCATCGGACTGTTCGTGCTAACTCGTCGGGATTTTTAGTAGCAAAGCGGTGGATCACCCAGTGGCACTCCGGGTGGTCCCGGCACTCTCGTTTCTTGTTGTTGAGACTCRAGCAAACTGACATCGACGATGTTTCTTCGGTAGCCACCGCGACCGAAGCTTGGGAAAGTGCTAAGAGCACAACTAACAACAGAGCAGAGACTATCGCTGTTGTTGACAGGAAGGGACCATTGTGTTTCTTGGTAAAGATCATCATTTTCGTTGTTTTCGGTTGATTCGTTGGCGTGGGTTGACTTCGTTTTCTTAACCTTTTCTTGCAGTTGTGGCTTTTGAAAAGATTGTTCAATTAATTTTTATGAGAACCGAGAGCGGTCTTGTATTTTACCAAAAACAAAGATTTTTTGGTGCACCTTCGTACTAGTTTCAAGACTAGCCGTCGGTTGCTAACGGTTTCGAGAAAAGGAAACCCAMGACCGAAAACGTTCGTTCTCTCCCCAAAATTTTAAATGAGATGGCATCCTGTGACACCCTTGTCGTTAATAGTTTCGATCGRTTTTGGTCGATTCAGTAATAAGCCCCAAGATCTCGGGATTACAGTACTTATTAATTTACCGTACGTAAGCTACAACCCTTCTACAATCAATGCACAGGTGATTTTTTTAGACTTCGTGACTCATATATCTGCAAATAATGAATCGGAGTACGTACTTTGTCGTATCAAATAAAATAATACAGTACCACATCAATAATTGTACGTTAGTGGCTGTCACAAGGGTTATTAAATATTTCAGATTATTCGAGACTCCGAGTCATAGATCTTCTCATTTTTTCTCATTCTTATCTTAGCTGTACCGTCCGGTACATGAAAATGACGAGATCCGTATTATCATTCGTTGTGCTGGTCCGGGAGATATTTTCTCTCGATATTATTCTGATGATTTCTGTTCTTGGATGTCTGACGATTCCTGGTTGAACTTCCGAATAGCATTGCTTAGGCATTTGTTTTCGTTTGATTACTGTAATTTTGGTGCTCTGCTGGCATCCGGGTATGATAATTCTTAATTTTGATAATGCTCCGTTCATTTTTGCCAACGACCTTAACAAGAGGGACTATTGGTATCCCGAGCTGTCCGCCTGCTTTTTGGTATAACAAAGTACTGTAACCTATCGGTATTAGTAATCCTACAAGACATTGGAACTATTAGTGCTAATAGCAGTATTGCAATATGCCTTTCGCATTTTGATTGGAGGTCGTGACCCGCTCTTGTACGTTGTTTTTCTGACGAAAAGTATTGGAGCAGCAGCCCAAGTTCGTCGCATGGTGATACACCGTGTTATGTCTCTTTTGGAAAAAGGCATCATCCCTAGTATTACTTTTTACAATTGGTGCTTTAAGTCTTGTGTAACTCCGAGACCCCACGATTGATGTGGTCATGGATTACATCATCCAATAGAGAACTCCATAACAGATACCCTTACTACCTACTCGTTGCAGCATCTTTGTTACTGCTGTCTGTCCTTCCACCTCAACGAACAACTGGTCTCGTTTTTTGTCTCCAGTGCTTTGAACTACGATTTACGTTTGGCCTCACGCAAGGACTGTTTAAGAAAACCCGGCTTGTGCCTTGGCAAAGTTGTGTAGTGTAGGAGGCCAACAGCAAGACGTTCGTTTGAATTCTGATAAGATCGCACCAGAGTGAACCAACCGTGTGTATTCTTCCCAGTGTTTGCCAGGACTGTTGTGTGGCACAAAACATAGTTGTCGCTAGTAAAAACAGGTTCGAAATCGTTTCCAACTATTCGTCATACGTGCTTTCCGAATCCAGAAATTCGAGAACGGCATCGGCATAGCCGTCCGGATCTTCATGCGCCAGGCTGATTCTTCCCCCGATGACAATTTCCCGGCCACCATTGCCGTTTCGTTCGACATATTCACGAAAGGTCTTATTGGTTTTTTGCTCTGTTTCAGTGACATTTGCAGCTACAGCATCAGCGCTGGGAAAATCTGCAGCATTGAGCTGCCTGGATTCTTCTGTTGTGTCGGCGTCCTTCTTCTTCTTTTTCTTCTGCCAAAACCAGCTCTTTGCACGGTTGCGTCTTGTGTCGGCTCCCTTGATGATATCGATCCTTAGGGATGTCCCACGGACCGCATCCAGGCTCGTCTGGCATCCGTCCTGGAGGGTACCCGCCAGGAATGAAAATGTGGCATACCTTCCTCGTTTGTTGTGGGAGACGGCCGTCCGGTAGCAGTTGGACCGCCAGAATGGGCCGAGGTTGGACGGATCGGCGATCAGGTTCTTCTCGCTGAAGGACTGGATGAAGGCTCCCTCGTTGCGGCAGGAGTACCACCAAAAGAGCGACCCGGGAATCCCCGACAGCGTCCGGTAGGACTTTGCGACTTTTTGGGGATCGTTTTCCGGGTTTTCCAAAAAGAATGGGAGCCGGGGGACCGACGACAGGACGAGGTTCTCGACCCCGGCGTGGTTCCAGCCCGGCCTCTGGCTCCGTTCCGCGAGCTGCAGGGCGATCGGGGAGCACCCGCCATTGGCGACTACGCACCACCGGTCGATCTCGTTGGAGGGACCGCGATCCTTCTCTATCGTACCCATCAGGTCCTCAAGCTGATCGGTCCAGTCGGATATGTTGAACAAGGGAAACTTGTTCGCCACAATAGGAGGATCTGACGGAGCAACTCCGTCCTCCGAGAGGGTGGCGTTGCAGGCACTCCCGCTCCCCAGCAAATCGGCCACCACGAGGACCATTCGATGGCGCTGGTGGTTGCTGCCGGAAGTGGTTCCGCTCGACGATCCTGTTTGTTTTGCGAGGAGCGATCGCACCAATCGCTGATAGTACCACCTGCCAATGCCCACTCCGATTGGGTGAACCAAAAGAACTCCGGTAGTCGTGGGTTCTTGTGCTCCGCTGGAAGTCGAGGCGGCAGTAGCAGGAATAGGAGCCTCCATTTCAATGATGTCGTAGTCGTAGGCAAAATCCAGGGTTCTGGCCGTTCTCGCGGTTGTGGTTGTGGTTGTTGTTGATGCTGCTTCTTTGTTTTCCAACCCACTCGGCTTGCTCCTACCCAAGAGAGTTTGCGAAAGAAATCGCCACGCACGCTTTCGTTTCGAGAGTTTGGTCGGCGAAAGTGCCAGCGAAAAAGTTGTTGATTTCGTCGAACACCCTTCGGGGATTCCTTCGCCCCCGGGGTCGAGAATGCTGCTGATGGAGTGGGACGAGTTGTCGCGTTCGGTCGCTGTTGCTCCGAGGCCAGACCACGAGCGTCCCATGGGCTTCGAACCAACTAGGCCGTGGTGGGAACGCCGGGCCCCCCTCGCCGAAATGGGAAATCCCTCGCAGTGTGTGTGCGTGTTCGCGTTCCACTGGAGCTCCAGCCACACCGCAACGATAAAGAAAAACACGGGAACACCACAAAAAGTGTGCTTGCGCTTTTGCCTCCGTTCGCGATTGTGCTCGGGTCTTGGAAGGATCCGAGAAGCTTCGTCGAGATTGGTTTTCGTCCCGTGGCTGCCACTGCCACAGCTAGAGAYACCACCGCTCGTCCTTCCACGAAAGGCCATGATTGCGATTCAAGACGGGGACAGGCTCGTTCGTTTTGATGTTTGTCSATCTATGTGTAGCACAAAATGAACGCACCGCACCAAGTCTTTCGAATGTTGGCTTCAAGATCGGGAACCCAAAAAAGAAAAAAACGAAAGATACTTCTACCGTACAACCAACGTATGGTATGGTACTTAGTACATTACAGTAACGGGAAGTCCGTCGGTAATCYGTAAAGCGTAGCGTACGGAAACTACGTACGTACTACTCGTACCACCAACTTCACACCGGTACGTACGTCGTACCTTCAATTTCAAAAATCCAAATTTTCTAATCCGAAAGCATGATTACGTTTCATATCTATATGTATTCATATCTATTGTAAATATGATACATACTTTACACCATGAATGGCATAAAAATTCAAAACGGGAAAATCAATTTTGGATGAGTAGTTACAGCAGTAAGTTCGCACCGTACCGTACGATACTGTACAGCTCGTACATTGATCGTACGATACGTCTTGAAGTTTTAGACCTCGGAACAACAAGCGACGGTGAACATCGGTTGGTCAMATCTGCGCGCCGGTACGATTCGCCTCTTCGACGAATTTTTGGCACCTAAGGCTGTAGGAGTAGTACGAACTCCATGGTACGGACCATGTGTCTTCTCTTCTTGGCTCCTGGAGGACAGGGAGTTCCATTCGTGTGGCTTCAATTGGACAGAACGCGTGATACCTTTGTTCCTTGGCCGTCTTCGTTTGCTTCCTCACTAACTGACTCTGCATAGCGCATGGCTGAAAGAGAATCATGGACATTCTTCGTGGTCGCGTTTACGGAAACGAACGTACCGTTGCCAACCGATCATTACTTAACGAAAGTAGAATTGACAATCAGCGAAGAACAATATTTGTGACACATGTAGCGGTAACACCGCTTCTGTCCAATGGTTGGTAGTTGGTGTCGTATACCGCTGTACTAGGCGTACGTCGAAATGCGCAAACAGGGCATTCGGCGAAACCAAAGGCTCTGCAAACTCTCTCGTCCACAGAGGCAGTTTGACGTCGCCTTTCCATGTTTGAAAGCGTTTATTATGTAACATGGGAACAGAAGCGGCRATTCMTCATTTTCATCGAGTCACRTCGGGATCGACAAAATCAGATCGAAAAAGAATTGGAACAATCATCTCAATTCCCAATTCCGCTACCAACGAACCTTTGGTCCCATACTATCTCTTCTTATTTTTCCCAAACTTCTCCCAATCAACCCAATCTCCTAGCCAGCCAGAGAAAACACGGCTGGACTCTACTCCGAACAACACTTGACAATCGGAGATCACAGCCACAGCAACAAAATCAAATCAATCGTATCAACCGAAATACACCTCATTMATACTGTGTACGAATAGTGTACTCCAGTCTCTCACCATGAATTACTTTGTCCGAAACGAGAACCGTGTTTCCCGGAACAGCCACCACCGCACCCGGAAATCGAGGAACTCCCCGCAGACCCACTCGGGGAAGAGCGATCGTCCCCGGAGGGCCCTCGATCAAATCAAGAGCAGTTACGTCCTCAAGGAAATGATGGGGGAAGGGTCTTTCGGAACCGTCCGCAAGCTTCGATCCCGCCAACGCTTCCGCGAAGCGGGGCTCTGGTCCTTCTTCCGACCGCATTCCGTCCTCGCCTGCAAGACGATCCCACGCTCGACGCTCGACGACGAGAAGCTGCTGAAGGAAGAATGCTCCAACCTCGAGTCCGTCCGGGGCCATCCCCACCTGCTCGAATTCGAGCGAACCTTCGAGGACAGCGAGGAGGTCCACATCCTCACCGAGCTGCTCGAGGGTGGCGAGCTGTACGAGGCCATCCTAGAGATGAAGCGRCAGAGGAGCTCCTTTCGCAACGCCGACGCCGCCTGGATGGTCCGAAACATCCTCGACGGCCTATCTTACTGCCACGACGTGACGGGGATCGTCCACCGGGACCTCAAGGCCTCCAATTTCATGTTCAAGCGAAACCCAAACATCACCGCCAAGAACCGAAAGGGCACCAGCGAGAGTCTCCGGGGCATCAAGATCATCGACTACGGCCTGTCCACGACGATCGATCCGGAAACGGGCAGGGTCGAGGGCTGCCTGGGGACGCCCTACTACGTGGCACCCGAGGTTCTCACGCAAGACTCCTACGATGCCAGGTGCGACGTCTGGTCGGCAGGGGTCATTGCCTATCTCATACTATCCAAGACCCTGCCCTACCAGGGCCGGGACGAGAAGGAGACGGTCCACATTCTCATGGAGGCCGAGAAATACCCTCCCTGCTATACCGATCACAACTGGAAGGGCGTCGAACCCTCGGCGATTGCCTTTTGCAAATGGCTGCTCTCCGTGGATCCGGAGCAGCGCCCCACGGCCCGAGAGGCCATGGCACACCCGTGGCTGGTCCGGCACTGCGGAACCCCGCCCCCGCAGCGGGCCCGGATYAACCCGGACCACAGCATTTTTCTGGACCAAGACGAACAGCAAGAGCATCACATCGAGGGAATTTCGGAGCTTCTTTCCTCTGCCAGCACGGATTCCTTCGATTCGGTGCAGCGCACCAGCAGCAGCTACAGCCAGGACCACGAGCATCATCCACAACAGGCGCGATCGCATTCTTCGCCTTCCTCTCTGAGCGCTCCCCACAAGACCGGGACCGCTCTGAGCATGGAGCCCATCCCCGAAACGTCTGGCACGCCCAAGACGCAGAAGATCAGGAAGGACGGCGCCCTCCGAAAATGGTGGTCCAGGCACCAGCATTGTGTTCCCCGGACGCAAAAGCAAGCCTCCACGACTCCCGCTGATACTGCTACTACCGCTGCCAAGTCCGCTTCGTCCACGGCGGTGAATTCGCGAATCGTTCGAATCCGGCAAAAGACCCAGGACACCCTGGTCATGAACGAATCGGTCGATTCCTTGCACTAACTGGAAGAAAGAGTTCTTKGTGTGTCTCACAGTGGAAGGCATTGTGCAACGCAGCATAATGCGCAAGCACCAACACGAATAAGTCCAGCACGCCGCTACGTGCCTTAGAAAATGTACCATTAGATTTAATGTCCATTGCCTCAAACTAAACATCCTTTCACTAGCAGGAGCTTGTCCTGAATTTTATTCTAGAACCATCGCTGTGATTGATGCGCACGCAACGGTATTGTAGAAAGCATTCGAGGCAAAGGAACCAATCAATTTCTACTATTATTATCATTATCACTTCCGGTTTGTTTCTTTTGCAACCAATGTGCCCACTCGGAGTGCGACGACGAGGACCCGCGAAAGAATAGAATGCACGCAAGAGATGAAAGCTCTGCCGTATTGGATTGTATACGGTATCGTGCGAGCAACAGCTAAAACTACAAMACATTTGTCTATTAAGCTATTTTGTTTGGATTGAATGTCCACAGGATTCGGCAAAACGGAAGAAAACAAGAGCCCGATCGAGACAGCAACCCTCCGTCCCCATCAGTCTTTCGGACGCATCGTTCCAATCCTCGACTGCCACACCTGSATCACTCCAGTCCAAACAGGATGGCGATCACCGTCGCCGCTCCTATTGCARGCGATCTCACTCCCAGGGCACGGCCCGAGGCGGAGGAAGCCGGCCCGGACTTTGGAGCAGCGCCGGGCCCGCTTTGCGGTGCCGGGTCGTCCCCGTCGTTTCCCCCGTCTCGGTCCACATCGGCATCGATCGTGGCGGACCCCGAACTAGAATCCGGAAGAGGGAGCTCCGCCTCGCCGCTTCCGGAATTGCTCTTTCTGCCTCCCACCGAGTAYGTTTCTTCTGCCGAATCGTCGTCGAGACCGGGGTTTTCCCCGTCGAGCAGCAACGCATCGGTATCGAGCGGTTCGCTTGGGGAGTGCGACGGAGCAGACGTAGCATTCGTTGTCGCGGTTGTCGTCGTTGTCGTTGTGGTTGTGGTTGCCGTCGTCGCTACATCCGTCGGTCGGAGTGTCACCAATGGTGTTGGGCTCGCGGACGGCTCCTGCGTCCTAGGAACGGAAGCRGGARSSTTCGCCAATTCCTCCGTAGTAGTCGGTCCCGTGCTGGGGGCGTTGGTCGGAGCCACCGTCGTCGGGAGTCCGGAGGGAGAATCGGTCGGAAGCCTCGTCGGAGAGGGTGTCGCTGGAGTCGTCGGCGCATCGGTAGCAAACGCCGACGGATCGTGCCTGCCATAGATGGCGAGGGTCCAGTGCCGCAGGAGGTTCGGGCCGAGGGATTCCTGATTCATCCCACCGCCGCAAACGCAGCAAGCATCGGAAACGCCGCGGCCCTTGGCATCGGCGAGGGTGTTCAGGAACCAGTACTCCGGCTTGATCCTGATCGCGGATCCTTCCGCGGTTGTGCTTTCCAGCGATCCGCAAACGTTGTAGTCTTCGAGATACMGGCAGTCAATCTGGCCACAACGCAAGAACACAAATCCAACACCAAAACATGAGAAAAGAAGCGACCCAAAGTCCCGACCTTGGAACCGAACGAGCAAATCATACCAAGCGTCCTTTGTTCTTTCGTACCTTGACCCCGGCATACTGCAGGGCAAAGCCCGGCGCGTCGACGCACTCATCGAACTGGCCGGGCTTCTCGTCCGCAACGGTCAGCGTCCATTCGCCGAAAGGGGATTCCTCCCGGTTGCGAACCGTCATGAGTTTCCAGAATTTGCCCTCGTCCTCCGGGTCCAGCTGGACGTTTTCGGGAAGTTTTCCTGGGTGCAAGACGGACTCGGTTCCGGACGGGGACCGGAGGGTGATCTTCAGGTCCCCCCGTGATATGTGGACCACGTCGAGGAGGAGCTCGACGCTTTCCACCACGAAATACCGGTCTTCCTCTTCCTTTGGAGCAACGGCAATGGACGAGGTGGACGGGGCAGACCCGGACGATTTGTCGAGAATCGGATCGTCGAGCGGGCCCGAATCGATCGCGATCACCCGCTCCGGTCCGTAGTTGGTCCAGGTCTTGGCCRTTTCCACCGCGTCGTTGGCATTGACGATCCCAAAGCCGTACAGGTTCGAGTGCCAGAGCCCCCCGCCGTTGACCACGGCCGACCGATCGAAGGAATCCTCGTGCACCGGCTTTGCCGACTTTGCTAGAATCCCCTGCACGTCCCTCCAGCCGAGCTCGCGGTTGGTTTCGAGCACCAGGGCTACCACACCGCTGACCACCGGTGACGCAAAGCTCGTTCCGATGCCGGTGGTGGTGCAGCCCCCCCCGGCCCTGGCCACGACGTGCTTCGAGAGATCCTCGGAGTCTCCCGCGGGGGCCGACAGGAAGAGCGAGGCCCCGCCGGTGCTGTAGTAGGTGTGGATCCGGTCCTTTCCCACCGCCCCCACGCTGATGGTGTGCCGGGAGTTGGTGTATCCCTTGAGGTTTGTGTCGTCGCCCTCGAGGAAGGAATTCCCGCTGGCAAAGACGTAGACCACCCCGAGGCCGTTCCGACCGAGCCGGATCCCGTTCGAGATGCTCCTCCTCGCGGTGGTGCTCAGGCCCTCGTAGTTGCACTCCCCGCCGATGATGAGGTCCAGGAAATCGGAGCAGGCCCCCCCGCCATCGCTTTCCTCCTGCTTGAAGTACCGGTCGCAGTGGCGGACGATGGACCGGACGCACTCGTCGGACATCTTGGGCGGGGGTTTCTTCTTGCGGGATTCGCCGCCAAAGAAATACCCCGAGTTAAAGCCGGCCTCGCAAACCTCGCAGGGAGCGGCCCCGGGCACTTCAAAGGGGCAGCGGTCCGGCGAGAGGTTCCGCGGCCGCAGCCCCCGCATGCGACGCTGCGCGTACGGCTCGCAGGTCTTGATGTCGTAGGAATTCTGGGACACGTCCACCGAGCCGAGGTCGTGGTCCAGGAAGGATTCGTCGGGATCGAGGCCGTTGCACCACGAAAGAGTGGTCTGCGGGGCAACACCAACGGCGCATCCGCCGTTGTTTCCCGCCGCACCGACGATGGACGCCACGGACGTTCCGTGCTGGTAGGTATCAAAGATCCCGCTGCGGTGGTTGCTGTATGCATTGTTGATGTCGTTGTGGTCGATGTTGTTGTAAACATGGATGCTGCTGCGCGGACAGGATGCGTCTCTGTCGAACCGGCCCTCGAACTCGGCGTGGGCTTCGTCGATTTCCCCGTCGTTGATCCTCACCCTCACCCCCCTGCCAAAAATTCCCTGGGACCACACCGGGGCCAGATCGATCATGTCAAAGACCCATTCCTGGTCATTGTACTCGGCGTCGTCGAAGAACAATCCGTCGATTATTGCACTATCGCTGTTGCGCCTCGACGATCCCCGGTTGGGTTGTCTTTCGAAGACGTTGTTGTTTGCCGCGTAGGCATGCGAGTGCCGGGCTCGAGACGCATCCGTGGAGGCATCCGTGGAGGCCAGCAGAGCAGCAATTGCTGCTAGCAGGGAATTGTGGAACCGAGACCGGCTTCGACGAGACGAAAGCACAGGGTGGTGTGCAACGAGAATTTCGCATTCGTTGTTGCCGCAGGAGGGCTGGGCGGATCGAACCTGTTGTTGCGATTGGCGCCTGCGCTTCCGAGTATCTAGCATTTCCGGTTTTTGGTTGCCATGAATTCTGCGAGTGGGATGTAGTGGATCCATGGAGCGTATGYCGTATCCTTGTTCACGCGGTCGTTGGATGGAACCAAAAAAACCGTTACGCTTCTTGCTCTATCTCTCGGCTCGATATGTCAATGGCCGTTTCCTCGCGATGTGTTTCGGCCGGCGAAACCTGCAAAACCAATGTATCCCACACGACTGGTGGATACGGCTGCATTGTTTTGTGCCTTCCTCGGTAGGTGCGAGAAAAGGATACGGTCGCCGAAGAATCCCCATTCGGAAGCGCAATGGGTGCGGGGTGCCCACTCCGCATTTTCGGGGTTTTCGGCAGAGCGTTGCAAGAAATTTGAGTGTAGCTCCCGTTTACTTGAGCSTGACTCGTGGACGAAATTCGTCGATCCGTTATTTTTTTCGATTTCAAAACAGCACGAAAAATATTGGCACGACCACCATCAAAATCAGCAGCGCCATCGCAATTACTACTACTACTACTACTAGTAGTACTATTGCTAGTAGTAGTACTAGTATTGGTCTGCTTGTTCGGTGGCAGTGGAAGTCGAAGAAGGTGTCCTCAGCACTGTATTTTCAATTTAGTTTCATGCCACCAGCATTTAAGCTGGTATCTCATTCCTGTAACTTTATTGCTTTATGATGTTTCTTACAGTTCAAAACCCTACGTAGTACTACTAGTAGTACTACTGGCTTCTTTTAGACTACAACAAAAAACATCATATTGGAAGAAGAAAGAAGAAGAAGTTTCTTGAAAATCCAACTGCCAGACCCCCCTTCCTCTCTTTGAGAAACAATTATAGCCAAAACTATTTAAGTCTTTTTGAATTCCATGATTACTACTATTATCAGCAGCAGTAGCAGTGACAAGAAGAAGAATGACATGSAAGGGATCCTCTGGTGGGTGTAATGAGGAAGGATTCTCTGGTGTAGGGTGTTTGTCACCCCACCAGCAGCTTTTTGTGCTACTACTACTACTAGTAGTATTACCACCATGATGTTGTTCTTGAACTGCTGCAGCAAGTACTGCTAGCTCGTTACTAGTAGTACTAGTTCTAGTACTACTAGTACTATCACCAGCAGTAGTACTAGTACTAGTACTACCACTACTACTACCACTAGTAGCAGCAAGAATGATACTACTAGTACTAGTACCTGATGTAATTCTTGTTGTCAGTGGTGCTACTACTAATACTAGTATTACTAGTGCTGGTATCAAATAGCAAGAAGAATACATGACAACTAGTACAAGAAGTCRCCAGGATGATGATAATGATGATGATGAGCCAACAGCAAGAAGAAGAAGGACAAGGAGGACGAAGAGGCCTCCTGATGCCAGCAACATACTACTAGTAGTAGCAGCAGCATTTCCTTTGGGACTTTGTACTAGCTAGTAGTGATACTACTACTAGAGCTTTTTCTTGTTACTACGTAGTACTACTATCTAGTGTTTGTGATTCCTCTTTGTTTCTACTGGCGTCATCCTTGGCAGCTGGAACAAAGCTCCAACGTTCTTGGATGGAACACAACCGTCCGCCAGGTGTTTCTCGCTCCTTCACGTGAATGCTGATTGAAATGGCAAGGAGGTTCTTGTTCTGCTGTGAGGACGAAACACAATCAAGAGTACTACGAGTAGCCAGTGAAGACATTAAAATCAAAAATTGATTGCCGATGTGACTCATTCGAGAGGCACAGGTTTGCAACGTTGACGTGGTTCCGTACGGTACGCACGTTTCACTTGTTCATACATCCGATCAATGGTTGAGGCTAATATTCGCGGCACTAGGTACTATATCGGGCGCTACTAGTGATAGACGGTCGTACTTTTAAGTTCCATTCGTTTCTTTTTTATTCGTGTGATCGGCCGAGGATTGACTGATGTTATTTGGTTCGTGTCACAATCAGAACGGTTGTGTGATTCCATGGGGATTTTCTGGGAGAACAACGAAATCGGGGTCGTGCAAATACTTGGAAGTCAAAAACCAACAAGCAAGCGAACGTGCAAGTTATCTCACTGGTACGGGATACGAGTACCAGGTACTCGTACATTCGCTATCGGTACGTTGACGTTGAAGAAGCCTGTGTGAGCCATAATTGCGAACAACCACGTACGTACCAGTACGCCATTGTGCTGTGCCGTCCGTTAGGTACTGTATTCTGCTATGGCGGATCAAATCGGGGCTCGAATCGTGCGATTTTTGTTTCGCTGCGCTTCGGGTTTTGAACGCGTACTGTCATCGCTGTTCTGACTACTTCCTTGAAATTGTTTTCAGTCACTAGAATATGTCCTACGGAACGCGATGGAACAACGACACGACGACAACGAGGGAACACGAAGTGACGAAAAACCACGAATGCGAAATTCCAGAACATCACAACTTCTCACAAGCCACACCAACCACTTTGTATCATTTWTATACTACATAAGATTTGCACAAAGACAACGAAACAAGCATGGCAACAATGATATTACAACCGATCGATACGAATACGAAGATTAACGACATTTATATGACGAATGGGGTTGTCGGAAACGAGAAGCTAACGACGACACCACTTTGTATCGCCAACAGCACGGCAAGCGCCGAGAACGCCAAACGACTACGCGTTGACGGACTCAAAAGCCACCTCAGCCGCACTATGAWCATTGAAATTCCCAATCCAACACCAATGAGAGAACAAGCATTGGATTCTAGCAGCACCTCGACGCGGCCCCAACACATACCGTTTGCACACGGCAGCGATAACAACAAGAACTTATTCAGCGAGCTAGCAGCACAACTTAATACAACCGGGGACAAGAATAGCACGGGAAAACGGATTCGGTTTGCACCGTTTCCATCGAAGTACAGGAATGATGCCAACAAAAATGCCCCAAATGCGTCGGGAGGATCACCCAGAGTAACGGACTTGTTCACGGAAGAAGAGCGCAGAGAGCTGTGGTACCAAAGCGATGAGCTCGCTTCGATGAAGCAAGAAGCCAAGGTTATCATTTCAAACCACAGAAATCGTTCGGAGGACCCCAAAACCCCAGAGGAGCGGGAGGACATGGTGGGATTAGAGCGATTCAGCCGGCAGCGGGCGGCGTGGAAACGGAGCGCGATCGAATACGTCCTTAGGGCCCAACAGCAGGTCCGCAAGCTGAGGAACGCGAGCACTGGTTTTGGAAAGGTCAGCGCCAACGTTGCCGAGGAATACATTCGAAGCGTGTCGCTGCGGTGCACGGGATGGGCGCGAGAAACCGCAAGCACACAGGGCTTTCGGGACTACGTGGCGGTGCACGATGCTCTGGCATCGCTCTTTGACGAGCAAGGGAAGAATCGGCACCGAAACTACGACGAGTTGATTTTCGGCGAAAAGACTTCGGATGTCATTCGCAGCACGGAAACCATCACCGGCGACAACAACAACAAGCGCAAGATAAGCGGCATCACCGAGTCAATCCAACCTCGAGACCACGCACACGATGGTTTACGAAGGGTGCGGCAACGTGCCTAAAAGGGAACAACAACAAAATGATAGATTAAACTAGGATAGAAATAAATACATAGAGATAAATCGAAAGTATTAGACCAACCATTGTATTGGCGCAYAAAAAAGAACACTTCAGTGCGTACTTAAATATTATGACTTCCCAATAGTGGGGAAGAATKTATAAAAGAACTGGGATATCCACTTTTGTCAACGCTTATTACTGCTATTATGAAACACGTGAAGAACAGGAACGAATCATGGCCCTTCAAAAARTWTCGTCAGATTGGCTGCCCCTAAGTAAAAGGACACGTCCAAATTCTTTTATCTTTATCTTCGACACCAACTCATGCATCAAAGAACAACTCTGGGTTCTTTTATCTTCGACACGAACACATGCATCAAAGAACAACTCCATAAATTATTTAAATAATTCGAAGTTTCGGAGTCGCGAATGACGTATGGTATTCTCAATTTTCATTGGTGGAAACTTCCTATTTTTTAATGATTTGAGAATCTGAAACTTCACCCTGAAAAAGCTCAGACGCCACCAACTGAATCAATCCTCTARMMGGAGATCGGCTTCTGACAACCTTTACCTCCTATACGTACAAACATACGTACATACATACGTACAAACATACGTACATACATACGTACATACATATGTACATACATATGTACATACATATGTACATACATATGTACATACATACATATGTACATACATACATATGTACATACATACATATGTATGTACATACATAGGTACATACATACATACATACATACATATGTACATACATACATATGTACATACATACATACATACATACATACATACATACATACATACATACATACATACATACATACATACATACATAGTACGTTTTTAAGTACAGTAATTTTTTGCAAGAATTTTTAAGTACAGTAATTTTTTGCAAGAATTTCCATGCATAAGGAACAAATCTACGGAGAAGGCAACATACAGTATTCCGAAGGAGTTCTCATTTTTAGTCCCAGCACGTCTCTTACAGTGCAGAGACGACATTACTCTTGCTTTCAGGTTTGTTTCAAAATTCAAAATACCTCAAGGAAGCAATAATCGATCATCCGAAAATACACCAAAGGCCACTCTGCGCTACAAGCAACAACAAGGAGAAAGTCGTGAGCGGGATCGCAGAATCCTGGAAGATTCACCACGAGAGGGAGTCTCGTATCCGACGCCATCGGTCGGATTGTGATGGGTGACCAGCACAGCAACGCATTCCCTCACCCGATCTCTACCATTGGTCACCACAGCGATAAACATAAMAAATGTCCTTTTGTAGCATCGGTTCATCATGGAAGACGATAGCTCAACCGATGAGAGTTTGCCCGGCCTTCAGACCCGGACTGCGGTCCGACCCGATTTCAAATATCCTAAGATTCGGGACAACCTGAAAGACGACAGCTCAACCGAGGATAGTTTGCCCGGCCTTCATAACCGGAGTGCAGTCCCACCSGATTCGAGTTCCTCGGAGGACGAGAGTGAAAACGAATGCTTGCACAACACCCATTCGAGCCACGGGGCCTTTCCCCCCGGGAACATTGGATACGAGCAAAGTGATCGTGGATGGATTTCCGRAAGAGCGACCGAGAGCGACTCTTACGGAATCCCCGTCCTGATTGAACCGGGAGACGAGGGGTGCTCCTCGGGGGAGGACGAAGCGAGCGRATCTGCCTYTCCCGTGCCTAGGGCCGAAACCGTCCCGGCCCAGCAGAGCGCCGAGCAGAAGAAGCGGGAGAAAGCCAGGCGCAAAAGGGCCGCCCGGAAAGCAAGAGCCGCCGAGAGGMGGCGGGCCGGGGAGGAGGCCGCCGAACGGAGGAAGTGCGCCGAGCGGGAAGCGGCCATCGCCATTGCATCGTGGTTCCGGTGCCGACTGGCAGAGCACCGGTTCCGGAGAACGCGTTCTGCCGTCGTTCGCCTCCAGGCCCTTTCGAGAGGAGTACTGACGCGTGCCACCCCAACCGGTGTCGGGAGGCGGGAACACCTGGATGCGTTCCGGCGGTTCTACCGAGTATGGGGGGAGTGCTCGAAGCTGCTCCTTGCCGAATCGTCGTTGCTGCCATTCTCGTCGGTGCCTTCCTCCTCCGGATTCCGGATCGATTTCRGCACTCCCGACTGGGCATCCCTACGGGACCAGCAGGCCTTTATCCGCCAGCAAGAGTTGATGTCGGACAGAGAGGACAATGACAGCGATATCAACGACGATGACCACGTTTCCAACAACAACAACAACAACAACAACAACAACAACAACTGTGTAGGACGAAAAGAAACCGACAGGGTCCTCACGAGTTCCATGGAGGATGCCATGCGGGTTATGGAGGAAAATGCAGACGACGACCACGATATGGAGGAGGTCTTTTTGCCGCAATTGCAACGAAGGAGCCGTACAAATAACAGTGATGATGATGAAAACAAAACCGAGCAACGTTTGCTCGGAATCAAACGAATCCATCTAAGCGCAGAAGTTGTCAAGTGGCTAAAAAAGGGTGATCCAAGATATGTTGGGTTTTTCAGAAAGCGAATGAAACAGCTGTCAGGGGGAGAGCGAAGCCGGATCTTGGCCAAGCGATTGATGGGAACCTCCTCGAAGAAGGTGCCCATCTACGAGACCTACCTGGCACAAAAGTCTGGGTTCCGCATTCTCTGGACCGAAAAGGACGATTCCATGCTGGTTTGGTACATTGCAAAGCACCACAGGGTCTCGCGCCTCATGAGGCTCATCGACGACTCCAAAAATCGGAGCGAACGGCAGCGGGTCTCCATTCACAATTGCATCGATGAGGTGAGCCGGACCGCGGACAAATCCCACGACGGCATCGAGGAAGACAGCAATCAGCACCAACGCCATGGCGGCGACAACGGTGAAATCGTTCTCGATCCACTCGGAAACGTTCCGCTGAAGATCTACGACATAGGCACCAGCGACGAGATAGACAACATTAAAAAAGAGGATTGGACCCCCGCCTTGCACCTGACCGATGAGGAACGAAGGGTTGTCGAAACAAAGGGCACCGTTCTGTTGCTGGGACGGTCTGGGACGGGGAAAACCGTGTGTATCTGCAACCGCATGGAATACGATCGGCAGCAACACGACCAGAACCACACAATACCAAAGAACTCCAGCAGCACACAAATCCAGCTAAGAGATTCCTTTTCGCAGCTATTCGTCGCAAGGTCTCCACGCCTCTGTGCATATGTCCGAAACAACCTTGGAGAAAGGAGCGGAAGCAAATTCGTGACGTTTGAGACCCTTCTGRTAGAGTTGGAAGCAGTCCTTCCCCGCGTGGACGGCATTCGCGATTCCTTCCCAGACGAGCTCATGATGAAATTCTCTGTTTTCAAACGGGAGTTCTACCACACTTTRAATTCCAACTCGATAGATCCACTAATTACTTGGACCAATATCCGCTCTTTTCTCAAGGGTTCCATCGAAGCCTTCCAGAGCACTAAATAYTTCGTGTCAAAGAAAGAGTACTTGTCGGAAAMCAATTTCGGGAAGAAGCGGTGCCGGCTCTCTACCGAATCGAGACAGCGCGTGTATGATATCTTTGGTAAGTACCAAGATACGATGGTCGAGACGGGTGCCTGGGACAATTGCGATAGAATCGTGGCGTTGATCCGGCGACTCATTTTCGCCAAGACGTCCTACCCCGAGCTCTTCAAGGGGAAGGAATCCTGGTGTCACTGGAGCAAGATTTATGTCGACGAGGTACAGGACTACACCCAGGTTGAAATCCTTTTGTTCTTTCACCTGAGCGGAGCCGGGAATCTCTTTCTGGCTGGGGATCCAGCACAGAACGTCACAAAGGGCGTCGAGTTTCGCTTCGACGACGTTCGGTCCGTCGGCTACCACATCGCGGGAGAGGTGGACCGACGGCGGAAGCTGATCCCGCAGAAACCTAWGATTRTTAACGTCAATTTTCGGAGCCATGCTGGGATCTTGAATGCTGCTTCTGCAATTCTGTCACGGCTCTTTGCTTTCTTCCCCGATAGTGCCAAGCAGCTGGGAAAGGACGAAGGTTTGTTCAAGGGGCCCCGACCGGGCATGCTTCACAAGGTGAAGCTGGAAACGATGGCGGATCTAGTGCACCAAAATATGAAGGGAGTGGTCGTTCTCACCCATGATGACGCTGTTCCGAAGGCCCGAGCCAAGCTCCATGGGTACAAACTGGTGTACGGGATCCAGAAGGCCAAGGGCCTCGAGTTCAAGAGCGTACTCGTCATGGATTTCTTTTCTTCACTCCCCAGCGAGCTACAAAAACCTTGGCGGTACGTTACGTTTCATTTTGTGTTCATATGGTTGAAGTAAGCAAATAGCTCGCTGCAGTTGACTGCCAAGTGTGTGTTCATGTGGTTGTTTTCCCATTTTCTTACTGAAGCGTTATTTGGATGCAACTACTCATTCGTCATGGATCTTCGATTGGTTTTTCAATGCTCATTATCCATCTATCTCCTCCATTGTATCCTCGTCTTGATTCCTGTTCAATCCATTAGTGAATTGCTGCTGAACCGGGCTGATTCCCATACATTTCAGAGCACGTATCCCGAGGTAGAGGGGCACCTCAAAGTTTTGTACACGGCTGTGACTCGGTGTATCGATCGCCTTTTTTTCGCGGAGACCGAGGATTCGGTATCAGGGGACGCCTTTCTTAGGTTCATGACCAGCACGGAATCGGTACAGGAGCCTGGGCAGCCGAAAACATTATCAATTGCCACCAGGAACAAAATCGGGGACATCGAAAACATGGCCATGACCGAAGACGAGGTACGCTGCCTGTTTTAAGATCTACTCTCTTTTGTTTTCAAAACTATTGTTGCGGGAGAAACTTTACTTATGTGTGAATTTTATATCTACTTTGTCGCGAATGCCAAGCTTTCATCTTGCTTACTTTCTGTACATTGTTCTATATCAAAACTACATAAAACAGTGGCTGGCCTCCGGGATAACCAACGCCGAAGCTGCGGAAGCCGTATTTGGTAGCGACCACGGCCACGCGTGCTCTCTCATGGAGAAGGCTATCTACTGCTTCCAACAARCCGACAAAGAGTCCTTTGCAAGGAAAGCCTCGAGTCAACTTGCAAGCTTCGAACTTCGTAACGAAATCGCCACTTCCCGTAGTTTCGGAAGCAATCCAGATTCGTCTCTAGCTGCTTCGAAACTATCTGAGATCGAAAAGAACGCAGCGCTAGTCTCGGAAAAACTGTTGAAAGAAAACCTCCTCTCCGAAGCTATTCGGCTGGGCAGAGACGTGCAACACACCATCTTGCAAAGGATGTATCTTTCGTCTACGTTTTTTGAGAGATACATCTTGCAACAATTGGAAGTGGAAAAGGAAGTACGACGAATTAAACGAGTGGTGAAGTCAGCTCGCCTAGATTAGGAATATAAAACATGATTTTCTATTAGGGCAACGCGATCGTGATTAATTGCKTGTATCTTGGGTGTTTTAGTGCAATCAGTTTTATGGGTAATTTTTTATCATTCAGTTCAATTACTTCTAACTCATACTCCAATCCAAGGTTATAACCAGCTTTTTTCATCTCGTAGATCTTCCACTTGAAGCCTCTTGTTGTTTGTGAGGTAGGGTGAGGCTACTAGTGGTATCAGTTGCACTCCCTTTTGTTCTGATCCTGTAGCTGGTTTCAGAATCTATGAGGAAGGAATATCCATTGTTTTGGGCAACCTTTTGGGTGTAGGATGACCTACATTTTTCCAAAGCATTGATATCAGCCAGGGTTGGTTTCTGAATACGTTTGAGGTTAGAACTATCTATCAGGTCCTCTAAAACTTTCTTCTTGTAGTCTTTTGATAGGCCCATGGAAAATAATGTTTCCTCAGTACTATCTATATCTCACCCTTCTTTTCTTTGTTGTTGTTGCTGTTGTTGTTGCTGTTTTTGTGAGATAGGGCTTAGTTCCCAGTCTTTTGGCTCTAGTTCTGATAGTTCCTTGGTGTTTGTTTGGTTATTTTCTTTTGCTTGCTTGGTCTTGTTCTTGTGGCTTGGTTTGATGCAATGAATATCCATGAGATTATGTTTTGCTCAGAATACACAGTGTCCTGTTGTCATCAGGATTTCAGTTGGAAGGCCACAGAGCCTGGCCTTATGTTGTTTGTCATATACCCCTACTTCTTGGAAAATTTTTGGGTCTCTGTCTTGCAGCACAACTTTCTGCAATAGATCTTAAGCCTCTTCTTCTTCAGTTTTGCTTTTGGTTTCTCTGACATCAACAAGGTTAATCTGGTTGGGGTCAATGTAGTAGCTCCTCCGGTTTTGTTGTCACCTGGTTTCAGTTTGATGAGAGGGAGATTTTTCTTGTGGAACTCTTTCACAATCAGTGAGCTCCCACCAGATCAATAAGAAATGAAAGGTACAATCTTCCCATCCTGATGTACCAAATCCTTGTGGCAGCAAGGTGTAGTAATATTGTTGTTAGTCTCAAAACATTTTTTGAGATAGCATTCCAGTTTATACAAGATACTACTTAGTACTACTACTASTAGTAGTCTAGTACTAGTAGCACTACTAGAAGGTTTGTGACAACTATCCAGATGGTGTTTGCACTTAAACCAGCAGCCAAGAATTACTATTGTTCTTTTCACTTCTGATTGTTGGCAACCCTGTTGTACTATAATTGCTTTTTGATATGCTAGTATTCTTGTTCTTGCTTCCACCACCAGCACCACCACCAGCTATCCCTTGCCTTTTCCTCTAGTAATATTATAGATTAGTAYAGGGCATCACAAGAACAAGAAGAAAGAAGAATGTAAGGTTCTGTGTCATGGTATTTGTTCAACACCATAGTAGAAATTTTAGCTACTAGTACTAGTACTAAAAAAATATCYTTTTGTGTTTCACACTGCTTGCTGCACAGTAAATGTATCAGACACAAGTGCATTCACTACTACTAGTAGTAGTAGTAGTCAGTTCTTTGGTATCATCATACTAGTACTAGTACTACTATCACGCACCACCACCAGCATCTTGCTGAGGAGGAGTGGTGCCGTACTACTCCTACATACAGAACATTCTTGCTTCATGCTTTTTGAACCATTGATGTCTACAACATGAAACTTCTTAACATACTGATGCAACTGATAGTAGACCCCTGGGTATGTACCAGTACTACATTATTGCTTCTAGTGTACTTATACTTCTTTACTGTACTTCAGAAGGGAGAACTACATATATATATATTACTGTACGTACGTATGGTACTTACTAGCATTATGGTCATTCCAGTCGTATTATCATTCATCAGAGTCTTTTTGTCTTTTCCGAAACGACTAACTCAAGAATGTACGCAAAAGTAGGTTCGTACTCTCAAGTGAAGACGACGCAATCGTGCAATACTAGAAGTACGAGTACCTCGTGAGGAAGTACGTACGGTACAGTACGGTAGGGGCCGTTGGTTGAAGCGTTTGCAAAAACCACAAACCGATACTACCTGCCGCTACAAGTATTCGTACTCGTACTTTTTTGCCATCCAAAGTGGCATTTGGAATTTGTTCGACGACCCAACTGCAATACCTTTACCCAGACATAAGCTCGCATTTGACTTTGGCCGTCTTGCACCTCTTTGTACAATACTCACCACATCCAGTGCATTGCAAACGCCTCTTGTACCCAGTCTATCAACCGACCTCGAAAGAAACACACTGTGGTGCAGCACGTCGCAGAAGCAGCCCGATGGTAACGCAACGAATACGTAGGGGGTCACCCTCTCCATCCACCTCCCTGGCGGATTCTTCGTTGGTGTTTGTATTGGCGGTGGCAATGGTCAGTTTTTTTGCYGGSACATTGTTTGCCGCGCACATGAACATGGATTGCCTCGGGCACGAYGTCACCATTAGGGGCGGGAGCATCACCGGGGACCACCATTTCATGAACGCCAGGGTGGAAGAATTAGCGCAGAAGCGTGTGCGAGGTACGTKTGCAGTATCGTGTTTGTGGGATTGTTTGCTTGGAAAGCTGTGAGTTGACGCASGCTCGGTGCGCCTTTCCGATCCGTTCGTTGTTYGGTCGATGAGRTTKTCAGGCACCGTACAACATCTCACCACGACACTGCCAAAAAACMTTTTGGACGACAACATGACTGTCAMTGYAACATCAATATATGCGCCTGAACCCMTTGCAGAGTTGCAAAAGGCAATGYCTACRCCCAAGTGTAGTGACAAAGACGGCGAGGTTSCYATCGAYCAACTCGGCCYKGAACAKACRTCGCCACCGAGAAAGGATACGGAACCATCRCTGCTGAAATTTCCGGACACCACCAACAATTACGCACGCGGGATGGTCCGAACCCCTAAGACACAGTTTTTTGACCAACTCGACMTTGGGGTYCCCATGGATCCGGCCAAGGCGGGGGATTCGGACGTTCTGATTCTGTACAACCGAGAAAAGGCCCTTCCAGATGACTACTATGACACTTCGTTGCTGTCGAAAGCTGTGCAAWACGACGACGATCGAAACTCGGAGTCGTCATCCAGTATCCCATCGATAGGGACCAAGGACGCCCTMAAAAATTGTGACTACGTCAACGTTGTTCTATCGTATCACGAAGGACGCGCCAACTACTGCACAGCGATTGTTCCGCAGTACGAATCGTACCACATCCAGAAATGGATGAGGCTGGGCGACGGGAAAGAGAAAAAGGGCGTCGATCCCTCGGCGGAACTGCAGCTTGTGTCCCGAGGGATGCAGAGCAATGGGAAAAACCAGTTCGAGCCGCCCGTCGATAGGAATCGCAGGGAGGCCTGGGGGATGCTCACCACGTACTATTCGTCTTTTGCCGACGCGACGGCTGTCCTCAAGCCGCTCGTCAAGAAGGTGGCCACGAGAAAGAAGACCGTCACGGTGATGGTGTCCAATTTTGGACAGAGCGAGCTGCTGGTGAATTTTGTCTGCGCCGCACGATCGCGGAACATGGACATTTCGTCCATCCTGGTCTTTGCCACCGACATGGAAACGAAAGAGCTGGCGGAAAGCCTGGGACTGACCGCCTTTTACGACAAATGGGTAAGTGTGCGACGGAACAGCCACTGCAACACCGTGTTTCATGACTTCATTGCGCTTCTGTAGGAAGAGCACCACTACCGTTWSATCCGAGTCTGATGTATCTTTTTTMWTCACGTTTCRTTSCCTGGCAATTGCCCAACAATAAATTTTATTGCGACGCCGGCACCATAATTTTTTTGTTCCCACCAACAAYAGAATTTCGACTCGATTCCGTCCGAGGCTGCAGCCCGGTACGGAGATCGCAAGTTTACCCTTATGATGATGGCCAAGGTTATGTGCGTGCACATGGTCAGCTCTCTCGGGTATAACATCCTTTTCCAGGATGTCGACATTGTTTGGTACAAAAACCCCATCCCCTTTTTCGAGGACAAGAGCAATAAGAGCCTGCAGAAATTTGACATGATGTTCCAGGACGATGGTGGCCACTCTACGCGCTATGCCCCCTACTCGGCGAACAGCGGCTTTTACTACGTCCGTTCCAACCCTCGCACCAAGCATTTCTTCTCCTCCCTGCTGAACGCGGCCGATTTGGTGCTCAAGACCGATTCCCATCAGCAGGCCCTGATCGCACTCATGAACGAGCACGTCTCTCTCTTTGGGCTGAAGGTGAAGGTTTTCTCGCGGGATACGGACGAGTTCCCCGGCGGGTGGCACTTTCACCAGAAGTCCGGCAAGTACATGAGACGGATGCTAGCGGGGGAGGCCGATCMATACATCTTCCACATGAGCTGGACGCTGAACAAGGACAACAAGCTGCTCTTTTTGGAGCAGATAGGCGAGTGGCACGTGAAAGAGGAATGCGTTCACAAAACTCCCAGAGAACTCTCCCTGCTGCGCGATGAAAGCCACGAGAGTCCGTTTGCYGATGCTTGCTGTTTGGCAGAACCGAGTTTCAAGTGCCACTATAGGGACAAGCCGAGCAAACTGCCGTGCAAGGACAGCCCACCGATTGACAAGAACGGCAAGTCGTGGTGGAAATAGGAGCAAAACAAAAAAATAGCAACGCTAGCAACAACGGCATTGCACAAATGGGATAACTGCATGGAAACCAATTCGTCAAATGTACACAGCTCCTTCTCACCATGTCGACAAATAGGGAGTGGATGGTCTTAATTTTCGGAATTCGTGGTGTTGCAAACCTTGTGCGGCATTATCGTACTAGCGAATCCTGGGTCCATTTACACGGAATGCAAAAGCAGTTCCCGATGTGCGCTGCTCTAGATCTGCAGTCATCACTCTTTGCCACTAGGATGATCCGAGTATGCTATCGCTGCAAATGAAGTATCGGCCAGCCAGTGGCGGTACAACATTTTCAAGCCGCACCATCCGGAAACTGCCCGGTGCCACAATAGTAGGAGATCCAAAATCACACCTGCAACCAGAGTGAATAGAAAAGAATGATAGCGTCGATTGTTCGTCGGCATTGCGAAGACCGAAATGGTCACGAAATAGACTGTAACGAGTTCGTAAAACGTGTATAAAGAAAAAAAAAAGATTTTTCCGCATACGTTTCTGGTGGAAATAGATTTTTGAGTTTTTGAAAAATCACTACTCCTATTAGCACTGTGTGACAAATGGTACCAACTAGCAGCAACCAATCATACTACAGGAAGTACTTGTWTGGTTTTCCCAATCCTGCCGATAGCGGTCGCGGTTCTTCTCTCTACTAGCCACTCACAACTGTTGGTGATCCAAGCCAAGCACGGTTTTGATAACTACTGCCCGTAGTATGTTCACACCACTTGCTAGTAGTAACGTCAAGGAGCTATACCGATACAAAATACTAGTACAACTGGTAGTAGAGTATTTCTACCAGCTGTAACGGAAAAGCACCATGTTGTGTTGGGAACATCTCCTTCTTCCTAGTGGGTTTCGCTCAAGAACTTTGTACTACTGGTCGCACGAATTCTGCAATTGATGGCGACTGCCCTTGGTCTTTTGCTGCTACGGTACGTTTTTGGTATACTGTACTAAATTCGTTTCAGCTTACTGTTGTTCCCTATAAAAAATGATTGCGACTGCCGCGGCGTGGTCACGCTTCGCTTCGCTTCGCTTCGCTTCGGCTCGGCTCGTCCCGGCCTCGCCCCTACCGGCGGGTCGTGGCCAGGACCGCGTGGACCTCGCCGCAGTCCAGCTCGAGCTTCTGGGCCGCCGCCTCCAGCTCGGCCAGGCCGTCCTGGTGTCGGTTGAGGACGGCGACGACGTCGCCGAGGGTCTGGACGGATCCGTGCTCGCCGCTGGCGTCGCCCCCGAGGGTGGTCCCCCCAAAGGCCCTGGCGTTGGCGTGGTTGAGGGTCTCGAAGGTCTCCCGGAGGGTTTCCGTGGAGTGGTCGAGGCGGTACTCGATCTGCTTGGCGGTTTCGTAGGCGCGTTCCCGCTCCGCGTCGGCGTCGAGGGGGGTGAGGTGCGCCTGCGACCGGAAGATGGCGTCGACCTGTTCCTCGACCGCCTCCAGGGTGGTTTCGAGTTCGTTCTGGAAGGCCCCGATCCCGTCGAGTCCACGCTCGACCTGTTCCTGTTCGATCATGAGCCTCTGGGCCTCCGTGGTGAGCTTGGCCAGGTCCCTCTGGCTGTCCCGGAGAACGGCGTCGAATTCGCAGACGCGCTTTGCTTCTTCGCAAAAGGCCAGGGCRTCTTCCTCGAGCTGCTTCTGGAACTTGTTGAGAATTTCTTCCACCGTCAGCGTTTGGTACTCGAGGGCGGGGGGTTCCTTGGGAGCAGGAGGAGCCGCCGCCGGAGTCGTTGCGGGTGCCGGGGTGGCGGACGCCTTGGTGGCGGCCGGTGTGGCGACGGGAGCGGGGGCCTTGGGAGTCGCCACTCCCGCGGGCGTAGCGGGAGTCGGYGTCGCGGCGGCAGCGCCAAAGGAAAACCCAACCGTCGTGGATGCCCCCTTGGGAGTCGTGGAAGCGTCCGTGGCAGCGGCGGCTTTGGAGGCATCCGCTGGTGCCGGTGCCGGTGCCCCGAAGGAAAATCCCCCGGGTTTGGCGGCGTCCTTCTTGTCGGCTGCCGGTGCGGGCGCCTTTGGTGCGGCAGCCCCGAAACTAAAGGCGGGAGCCGCAGCAGCAGCGGAGGACCCTTTCTCCTTCTTGTCGTCTCCCGCCGCCGGAGCCGGTGCCGCTCCGAAGCTAAAGGCCGGGGCCGCGGGGGCCGGTGCGGCTTTTCCCTCGTCCTTCTTGTCGGGAGCAGCAGCCGGTGCCGCTCCGAAGCTAAAGGCCGGAGCAGGAGCTGGAGCGGCCGGTTTCGCCCCAAAGGCCGGAGCAGGCGTCGGAGCCGCGGCAGCAGGAGCGGCCGGTTTTGCCCCAAAGCTGAAGCCTCCCGCCGCGGGGGCCGGAGACGGAGCCGCGGCGGCAGCGGGCGGCTTTGCCCCAAAGCTAAAGCCTCCCGCTGCGGGGGCAGGAGCGGCGGCAGCGGGCGGCTTTGCCCCAAAGCTAAAGCCTCCCGCCGCGGGGGCAGGAGCCGCGGCAGCCGGAGCGGGCGGCTTTGCCCCGAAGCTAAAGCCTCCCGCTGCGGGAGCGGGAGCGGCGGCGGAGGGAGCCGCACCAAAGCTGAATCCGCCCCCGCCCGCTGCCGGAGCCGGTGCGGGAGTCGATCCGAAGCTGAAACCGGCCATGGTTTTAGCAGTACAGTGGCTGGTTTGGATTGCTCTTGTTCTCGTTTTTGTATTTGTATTTGGTTTCTAGTGAAGGAAAACTTAATTCCTARCGATGGAGATGGCGATGGAGGCAATCGTGGCTTTATCTCTTGTTCTCGTTCTCACTCTCGTTCTCGCTCGGCAACAAATTGTTGTCTCGCCCAAACTCGATGGAACGTATCGCTGCGAAAGTGCCTCGGATACTAGGATGCAACCGACAAAGCCCGTTTTTCTTTCTTGTTCTGTGGGAAAGTCCTGCAGCGGTAGTGACAATACCGGCACCGCCTGTGTCCTGTATTGCGATTGGAAGAGGATGAACAACGAACGGGTCTTCCTTGCTGTGTGAGATGTGATTGCCCGTGCAAGCACAGGGAGAGAGATCTGTTATCATTTGACGGGCGTCGTTGGTTTTCGTCCGCTTTGCGGTCCCCCCTTTTTAAAAAAAAAATCGTAGGGCGAGTGATGCGCGCTTCGCGCGATAGTGGGTGGATCGATCGATCGATCGAGGGCCTGCGATTATTCAAAACCCCGACGGACAGATTCATTCGATTCAATTCGATTCGATTCATTCGACTYCATTCGATCCGACCGACGCGGTTTCGGTCGAGCGAGACGGTCTTTTGTTTGGGTTCGAAGTTTTCCCTGCCATTTTCGAGGGGACTGAATGGGGTTCTGCTCGATCATTCCAGTGAAGTTCCGGTGATCGCTCGTGGAAAGAACACCTTCGATCTGTGCTGGCGCTGTTTAACTGCTTACTCATGTTTCTGTTTCCTTTGGAGCATATGAGACGCCACCACTATTTATCAAGAACGGTATTGGATGCATTGTATTATGAAAGAAAATGCCTCACAGGCTTAAGACGAAACTGCATTCCACTGAAATCCAAGTCCGTATACATCGACGGACGTTACGACCAATAATCATGCGGTTCCGTGTCCGCCATAAGCACTGACGGTGAGGATTCATCGCTACATCYTTGCCATGCTGGTACCGTAGAATGCAGAACGTTCCTCTTGCCAACTAATTTTCGGAGAACGCGATCGCCTTCATCACTGGTTGTGAAAACGAAAAGAAAAAAGAATGRCAGAAAATCCCGGTGTTACGGTTCATTTTTTTGGTTGCGAACCAAACAACTCAGTGCGATGGAATCGGCCACTGGTTTTCTTCTTCTGGCAACCCGCTGTCCTTGTTCTCACTATCTCGCGTCCTTTCCCTACCGGTAGGACGSCATTGACTACGGTTGCGACWCACACGCACAAGGGAGCAACAGAAAGAACTTTCCATGAAGTACGACACCATCGCGAGTCCTCCGCGGCCCCTCCTGTGCACGGAATCCACGGACGGTGGGGGATGTGCCGGCYGCCCCCTCCCTTGCAAGCCGCGCGAAACCATCGTGCCGGAAGGGAACGGAGGGACGAGCTGGGGTACCCGGAAGGATGATGCTAGCCTCGACTATGGCCACCGTGCACTCCACGATTCTAGCCACGATTCGATCGACACTGCCGGCCTCGATGCCGCCATCGGCCACGATGCTGACTACAAGGCCTGCTGCAGCAGCGCCCGGTTCGTCTGCGACGATTCCGTACGGAGCGACGATTCGTCCCTGGTGTCGGCGCCGACCTTGTGTTCGGCTTCGCCATCGATGTCTTTTGCAGATTCGGAAGACGAAGAAACCCCGCTCCCCGGCGAGGAGGAGCCATCTTCTCGCGAAGAAGAAGAASAACAACAACAACAAGAGGAAGCCGACGCMGAATCTTCCCCCGAAACGAATCCGGAGGCCGGGTGCGAAAGCGGKGTCGAGAAAGGCAGGAGAAAGAGCGGCATCTGGAACCACGTCGTCAGGGACTTTGACCGCAGCAGGGGCGGGGACTTCAAGATCCTCCGGGCCATCGGACGGACCGCCGCGGTCAACGCCGTCGTCTCGGCCACGGCCCTCGTCGGGGGGCCCGTCGCCGGCGTGGCCGGCTACGCCACGGGGGGTGCCATCACCGCCAAGCGCCTCTTCGGGGACGGGATCGCCAGGGAGGACCACAAGGAGATCGCCAAGAGCCTCGCCGTCTTTGGGGGGGCGACGACCGCCTCCCTCACGGGGCAGGCCATCGCGGGAGCGGCGATGATCGGCCTGGTGGGGGCGAGCCTCCCCGTGGCCGGTGCGGTGGCCTTTTCCGCGGGGTGCGTCAGCGGCATCACGGCGGGTGCCCTGAGCGAGTGGGGCGTGGACGGTTTCATGGGGGAGGGGAGAGAAAAGCAGGCCGCCGGCAGCGGGTCGGACCCCRAGGGGGGGAAAAYRGATTCCGGGGGCGGCAACGCGGAAACGAAGCACGGGCTCGCCGGTGTCGTCGGGGCCTGGGTCGACCGGCAGCGACAGAGACGCCGGGAGAGCCGCGTGGACCGAGAAGCCGCTAGGATCAAGAAACTCGTGGACCAACAAACATCCGCTGCTTCGGAACACAACAAACCCGCATGGCACGGGAGAGGATCGATCGTCGGCAAGCACTCAGCGGACYYGGTGGTGTGTTGATCGTCGGCAAGTACTCGGCGGACTCGGTGGTGTGGAAGTCGACCCATTCCCCGTCGTCCCGAGACGAAAGAAACAGAGAACAGACCGGGTGGGGGCATGGATTCGGGGCAAGGATCGAGGTACGGCAGGTCCTTCATGCGATATCCCCGCCGACTCCGTTCGTGTGGATGTCGATTCGATTCGTCTCACCCCGGCCCGAGACGAAAACAGTTTTGAATCAATGATCGCAGTACACTGTAAACAAACTTGAACACCAATCGTGCCACCAATGGGTATCACTACGAATTTGTGGCATGCGGAATGCATTCGACCTGGTTGCACACCCCCTAGCGTCAGAGTTATTTATCTATAGTGTGTTTTTCAACATCGTGCGATCACCCGTTTAGGCCGTGCTGTCTGCGCCGACATCTACATCTACCTTCTTTTCAATCTCCCTTTTCTACATGGTTTAGAGGCCCCTATTCCAAAACTACAACCAGTCTGCCCATACCATAAGCTCCATGACCGCATCCCCTCTTCACACGAAAACCCGGATCGTCCCCCCCCCCCTACTATCTTACCAAAGATACCCTACATACTCTGGTAATACCAAATTGCATAAGAAAATTTCGTTTCGCCGATCCGAATTCTCAACATGCGAAAATGTAAGCTTGGAAACCCAAAATCCTTTGATRTTGATATAAAATAGTTTTTTTGGTTCCAGGTGGAACTAAGTGACAGCTTGAGGTGCCGGGCGTAAGTTAAGACTATCATTCTGCGTCTAGAGCTGTGTAGATTTTGTACTGATAAAAAAGCTGTCAAGTCTCATTTCGCACCCGAACTCGTACGGTACCAGATTCTCCTCATCTGTTTACTAGTAGGAGTTTCATAACAATTGCACGGTCTTGCCAGTGAGCAAAAAGTTTTAATTTGAACTTTTGAACTTTTGCTCGTAGTACATCATGTACCAGGTTCTACTGAGACCGGATTTGATTCCCATTCAATCATTTAATCCAGCCTTTCAATCATGAATGCCATCCAAAAACTAGGTCAGTAGAACTCAGTAGAATTTCTGATATGACATTTTAAGTTCTAAACTTCTAGAAGTTTAGAACTTAAAATAAAAACTTTATGCTTGCTGGGCAAGCCGGCGTGCAATTTTTATGAAACTCATAGTACCGCAGGCTCGAAAGAAGAACTCCTCTAGTATTTTTTTTTTCTAACTAAGTGTATCATTACCTCTTAAAAGAGTCAATCTACACTTCGGCATCCTATGGGGCTTTAATTTGTGAGTCGCTGTTCACACATACGAACGTTCTCGAGAAAATTACTAAAAATTCCGTCCGAGCTTTTTTGTTTTTTCCCCGAAAAGAAGTCTCATAGAGAACCTATGGATTCCGAAAGAATGCACCAAAATAATAAAAAAATATCTTTTTTTGTTACAGTACGTACGTACATGTGGTGTGATCCTGAATTTCCGTGTCAGAATAATTTTGACACTGCGACAACAGCAGTAAGCTCCCGGGAAAAATCGTTATCGGTTCCATTTGCGGGGTTGCGATTTCGTAGTTCGGCACTCCATGGTAATTTTACCAACCCTGCGTTAAATGTCATAAAATCTTTTCCTTGATTGTATTCGATCCAAACCGAAACCTGAATAGGAACAAATAGATTCGTCAAAAGATTCTTCYATCATGGGAAGTTTCAAGAGATTCATCACATTCGCAGCTGCGTTTGCCGCGGCAAATTGGGTACAAGTTGTTGTTGTGTCCGCTCATCCAAYAGGAACTGTAGARAATATCAACCGCCGCCATTTCCTGCGCGACAATGGCGAGGGATTTCCCGTGTACCAAAAGGTTACACAATTTGTATCCGGCGAAACCAAAAGCCAATGGTGTGTCGAAATTCGAGACGTCGAAATTCCAGACGTTGGAATGGTGTGCAGCTTTAAGGGGACTTCTAAACCTTCTAAAGAGTTCATCGAGTCCCTTCAGCCTGTATCTGGTCAATCCATCATGAAGACTSAAGGTGCTTATCTCCAGAGATCGTCAACTACATCCGACTGGGAGATGTATATTAATGAAGCATCCACGCGCATCGAAAAGTTGTCAGAAAATGATGCCCGCAATCGCGGACAAACAGCTAACAACTTTCCGGGTCCTCCTTTTGGCACCAAAACTACTTTGGTTGCTCGCGTTACTGATGGTGCTGGTGTTCCGCATACAGCAGATGCGAGCAAGCTCGAGGATGATATATTTCTAGATACTCTGTCTTTGAAGTCACAGTACGCAGCCTGCTCCAAGAACCAGTTAGACATCCAAGCTGCCCCCATTGGTAATGGTGGAGTTATTGAAATTTCTGTCGCCACGGTCGCGGCAGGTGGAAGTGGAGATAGTCTTGAATCTGAAGCCAAAGTGGCATTACAAAACCAGATCGGTGACATCTATAACAGCTACCATCTTATTATATTCTGCCAACCTCCTGGATCTATAAGTGGTGGACAATCAGGTTGGCTTGCCTATGCTTACTTGAACAATCCTTTGAGCTTTTTCAACGACCTTTGGTGCACTAGTGCCTCAACCTTGATGCACGAGATTGGTCATAACTTCGGGTTAGAKCACAGTAATTTGGGCGATACGGAGTATGGCGATGAGACTGGGATAATGGGATTTGGTTATCTTGAGGACGATTCTCCGCGTAAATGCTTCAATGCCGCCAAGAACTTCGAACTGGGATGGTACAGTAGACAAGCAAGTACAGTTAATCCCATTGACTTTGCTGATAGTAGCAGAACATATGTCTTAAATGGAATCGATAAATACCAGACAGAGGGAACTTCCACAAAACTCATCGTCTTGAAGTTGGATCAAGGCGGAGAAGATTACTTTATCGGATACAACGAAGCTGCGGGTGCCCACATTGAAACACCCCAGGCAATCAACCAAGTGACCATCATTGAGAAGCCAACAGAAAATATTCCATCACGTCAGATAGGACAGAGCTGGCGTCGCGGATCTCTTCTAGCAGGTAACGTGCACGCCATCAACAACTTCAGGGGCACCCAATATGGAGTCTATATCAAATTTGTATCACTCAATGGAGCTGATGCAACAGTTGAAGTTACCACGAGCACTACACCTGTTCTCGCTTGTGGGGGTACTGGTAGATTCAACTTTGAAATAACCCCGGACCAATTTCTTGGTGAAACTAGCTGGTTCTTGAGAGATAGCGGTGGAGTGGTTATTGCCCAGGCTGCAGCTAATCAAATGAGAGTTGGCGTGGTAAACAGCTTTCCGGCGGCGGGAAATTATTATTGCTTGCAACCAGGAAGCTGCTACCAATTTGAGATTCGTGACTCATTTGGTGATGGTATGCTGGCGCCTGCAAACTACAAAGGAACCCTCGATGGAGTAGAAGCATTTTCCGGTGGCCAATTTGSAAGTGTCGAAGTGAAGGATTTTTGTGTCCCAGGTGCATCTGCACCAACACTTGCTCCAGTACCTGCCCCAACACCTGCTCCAGTACCTGCACCAACACCTGCTCCAGTACCGGCACCAACACCTGCTCCAGTACCGGCACCAACACCTGCTCCAGTACCGGCACCAACACCTGCTCCAGTACCTGCCCCAACACCCGCTCCAGTACCGGCCCCAACACCCGCTCCAGTACCGGCACCAACACCCGCTCCAGTACCGGCACCAACACCCGCTCCAGTGCCTGCACCAACACCTGCTCCAGTACCGGCACCAACACCNGCTCCAGTACCGGCACCAACACCCGCTCCAGTGCCTGCACCAACACCTGCTCCAGTACCGGCACCAACACCAGTCCCTTTTCCCGACACGGAGTTGCCAACTTTCTTCCCAACATCCATCACTACAGATTTAGTGTGCGAGGATGACCGCAGTTTCAAGTTCAGGAACAAAAGAAAAAAGAAGTGCGGAAAGAATTGGATGCAAAGATACACACAAGACATTGACAGAAGGAAGCGAAGGAAGCTCCGAAAATTGTGTAGAAAGAAATCAAAGGGACGAAGAGTTTTTGAATTTTGCCGCGCGTCCTGTGCCCTTGTTGGTCTGGGCCCATGTGCCTAGTTGTTGTGTGCGGGATGAACAACTGTGTTCATCGAGCTGGTAGAAATAAGCAGCTGCTGATGGACAAAATAAGAGCTTCAAGTTGGAGAGATCCAGTACCATAGGGAGGATCTTGAAGACCAATGGAGGAGGGAGAGTTAAGAGGAGTGATTTCCGGCACGAGCGCCGTGATTATTAGAGCTGGGAGGAGAGCTCCTATTTCAAACGAATGGAGAATAAGATAGAGAACACTTTATTTGCTCGATAGGACTTACAGTTTTGCAACCATATCAACAGCAACTTCCTCGGCTAGTTCTGATGATGATTCCCGTTGATACAATGAAGTGGGCGTCCTATAGAAATTCTATGCGTTCTCAATATAAACATTTGACGATAATTAGTTCGCACCAATTACCACCAGAGCTTAAAGGGTTATTGCGATCCAGTGAAAAAAGGATTTAGAAAATTTCTCAATTTAACGAGAATGATGCAATCAACCAAAACGTGGCCCCTCTCAGTTTGCGATGAAAATGGATCGATAGTAATATTATACCACCCATTGATCTTCTTTGCAGTCTGTCTGAGGCCCATGTTGTGTCACAGGAGCCATGTACTTGAAGAGGGTCCATGCTTGGGTAAAATTTCGTAAGAGCCAAAGGTTTAGAGACTGGTTGAGGGGGTGGCAGATCTGGAAGGTCCTCTCTTGGTTCTGGTCTCCAGTATGTGAGGCCCTCTAGCTTTGTTGCCAGAAGATAGATAAATACCTGCTTAACCGCCTTGTAATGGATAGGAGCAGGGCAATGAGAGTGTTGGCTGAGGGTTATTACGGCAATCGATATGTCCAGTCTGCAAATTGTGAGGGCATAGATGAGTTCACCAATGCACTGTCGGTAGTTGAATCCCATTGATTGTTCCAGTTTGAGGGCTTCTTTTGGGTCTTTGGGGCCTTTGTCRACAAGCTGCATTCGCCGAGTGTATGTGGAATCCTCTTTCATGGGAGTGGGTCTTTTCCGTGTTCTTTCATTTAACCAGCCGTGATGCTCGCATATAYGTTCGATGTAACGACTATAGTGTAGGTGATTGTAGTGTCTTGTTTGGTCCACATGAATCCCGTTGAATTTATGTGTAGTGCCAAGTACATTGAGAGGGTTACTCATTCTTTGTTGAATGAGGTCCCGTATGTTATCACATACAGAGTGATTYGCATTGGCGATGAGAAAGTTGTCCACTTGCCTGAGAATAAGTGTGAGCCCATGGTCTTTATCATGTTTATAATAGAGACAAGGTTCATGTGTGGTTGGTTTGAATCCAAGTTTGTCAATAAGTAGTTTAGAGATATACTTATCCCACAGTCGCGGTGCCTCAGGATGTCCTTGAAGGGCTTTTAGAATGGGGATTACCTGTCCTACTTTGATATGGTCTCGTTGAAGACATTCAGTCCACCATTGCTGGAAGGGAGCATCCACTTTCATATAGAAGGGGCTCTTAGGAGGAGGGGCTTCTGCAAAGGCATTACCCACATCATAGCCCACACAGATTAGATTTAATGCAGCAGAAAGGGCCTAAGTGAGCCGGTGAATAGGTTGTTCCACACAGGATGCATAGGTTTCAGCCAGTGTAACAGCTTTTCCGTATCGTTTGCCACCATTATATGTGCCACGTGATTTAGGTTCATCAATTCCAGTGAGTGGGTTCTCTTTTTCTAAGTATGTCCATACCCATGGAAGAACTGTCATATCTGGGGTTTCATCCACTGGATCTCCGAACATGCTTCCATTCCGATCGAAGGAATCCATCCCATTTCGGAGTATGTTGGAGCTTGGATCTYGTGAGTTTAGCGATGCGGATCTGTTCCTTTATTGTTTCGGGGGAAWCCATGGAGGAGGGCCATTGGGTTTTGTTGGGCCACAGATCTTGTTTGTTGTTGATGGTGTGGAGGTGATGTGCTATCACGTTGAGTTGATCAGCTTGTAGAGTAGGAACACCCCCCCCCACTCATGGCAAATCCCGTGAGGGATCCAAATTTAATGGTAACATGGACATGATGTGTAGATCTGGCTTGTCGTATAGCCTCCACAATGTCCTGTTTGGAGTGAATGACGTGGTCATTAACTGATGTAATAATAGTTCCTCTGAGGCRTCATTTCCAACCACGTATTCGTGAGTGTGCTATTGTGCCTACTTGGAGAGCAGTGAGCTCCATTGAGTTCTTCAGGTCTGGATGGGGGCTAACGAGAAGGCCCATTGTAGGGTGGAAGCTGTTGGTGTTTTTCAGTGGTAAGGTGTGAGTGGTCTCTTTAATGAACATGTTGGTGGAGATATCTAGGCATTCTAGTTCAGGGATGAGTGCTGCTATATCAGGTCTCTCAAATTTGGTTYGGTTTCTACGGGCTTGTACCTTTGCGGCAGCAGCATTGGATAGCTTTGTGGGGAGTCTCGTATGATTTTCTTGACGATATGAGAGGGATTGATCTGGCGTGGGTCTTTAAAGGACAGCTCCRCGGGTTCCTGGGTGTGATTGGTTGTATGGGCATCATTGTCGCCTTCCGTGAATGTTTCCATCAGGTGTGCAGCTGCRGGGGATCTGTTTGCTGGGTCGTCGCCATATTGTAGTTCATCCTTGGAATCATGCCGTGCAATTTTATCCGTGTCGGTATGAATATCAAAGTACTTAATATTGTCAGTGTTCTTGCCATATCCAAGGAATATGCCATCATATGTCCATGGGTGAGTGGTGGTTGGTCTTGATCCTGGCCTTTTAGCTGTTATTTTTGCACCAAATGTAATGAGATTGTCCACAATTGGAGTGCAGCTGGTGTACAGCTGGAGTGGTGTGGTATCAATCGCRCTGTGATAGGTTCTGTTGTAAAGCCATGTAGCATGAAGAAGTGCATCTGCCCAGTACTCGGTTCCAAGGCCAGCTGCAAACAGGAGGTATTGTATGCGTTCCTTGAGTGTTTGATGGGGACGTTCAGCGAGTCCATTCTGTGAAGAGGCATCTGCAGCAGTGGATGTAGTGTCGTATCCATGGTTATGTGCTGTTTGTCTGAATTTGGCGGAGTTGGCCAGTTCACCACCACCATCTGTCATGATAGTACAGTCTAGATGGTCTGGAAGGAGGTCTTCGGGGATAACATTGTAATTGGTGTTGCGGATGGTATCCGCAAAATTGCGTGAGTTGGCAAGATAGACACCTTTAGTTGTGGTGATTGCTTTTCATGGATCACTCTGTCGGATACCGTGTTTAGATAGGAATTTGTGTATGATTTGTATTGGTGGTTCCTTAGATTTGAGGGGTATCGTCCAGAGGGCACGCGTGGCTGCATCAATGATGGTAAGGAATCCAATGAAGCCTTGTCGACTACRCTTTAGTGTGGGTAGTGCTTTAGCATTGGAAGTGAGAACGTCAATGAGGTTAGAGGGTCCAGTTACAAACRATAGGTCCATATGAAAGGACTGAGCAGGGATGAATTTTTCTTTGCATGGCGTGCGTTTACCATGGTATTTAGTCATCTTGCTCTTTTCACAGAATGGGCACTTAAAGAATGGAACTGAAGACGGGAGGGGTGGGATGCCCTCAACTACCTTTTGTGTTTTAACTAGTGTAGTGGGGGATATATGTCCATAGCGTTGATGCCAAAGTTCAAGGTTCTTTAGGGCTTTGGATAGGCCTGAAGACCATGTACAAGTGTGCATCTTTGGTGTTGTTACCTTATGGACGTGAGGTCCGTTGTCCTCAGTGTTTGCGTTGGCCATTTGACGACGGAAGATGTTGAGTTCATTGTCCATCTGATTGCTCTCCTTTTCATTCTGAAGGAGTATTTGGTTGGTAATATACCATTCACCATTGTCGCTTCTGCCAGTTTGGATTGACTGTACTATGTTGTTATGGCTGTTAAGGAACTGTRCTGTTCCTTTGTTACTAGTTGCACATCCCTCCTGTCGAAATGCGTAGAAATCATGTTCACGCTGGTACTGATCCGGTGAAAGGACTGTGCCAGTCAAATGCAGAGTGTATATAGTAAACCAACGCATAAGTGAGCCTTGGTCCAAGACCATTTTGATATAGCCCTCACCATGTACCAGCAGTATATTCTGTAGTGTGTCGTCAGGAGCAGAGAATACTCCAACTTCCAGGGGAGTATTGTATTTTATATAGTCATGAAGAATATCCTTTCTATCCGTTTCTGAAACGTTTGCGCCAGTATCAGCTTGTAACAAGCAATAGGTGGGGTCCGTGTGGAGTTGGGGATCCGGGCTATTGATTCTTGTYTTAATTTTAGGGGTCGTTGAGGTAGATGTGGTGAGTCGTAGGTGTGTGCGTGATGAACCATACGGAGTAGCGGGTCGTTGGAATCATAAGCTGTTGCCAATGATTCATTCTCACAGTGAAAGGGCGTAAGATTATTTGACATTACCAACGGGCCGTTTGCGTCTGGTGGGTGTGGGCACGGGTCCATGCCGTAGGCGTGACAGTGTAGGTGTGTTGTAGAGTCAGTACTGCATGGGATAGCTGGATACTCTGCGGTGTCTGTTAACTCATTGGTTGATTGATACTCAGCGTCGTGGGATTGATCTTGGTTCCCATCGTTGGTACTGGTGTTACACGGACTGTACGTGGAATCTSGCAAGGTCTGTTTACGGGRGTTGCTTATTACTGGTGTTGAGCAGCTGTGTGGATTCATAATACAGTTAGTTGGGGATGATGAATCAGTCGGTGGCAATGGTGAGGTTTGTGGGGAAAAGGTTGGTATTGTTTGTTCGTCGCCTTCTGGGAGTGTAAAGAGTAGCATGTCTGGGTGTTGAGATTGTGGGGGTGGATGTTTACTAGTGTAGCCAGGCTGAGCCTCGCTAGAGACCCGGCATGGTCCCTATTTGTCCAAACTAGTTGTTGGACTGATTGTTGGGCATGCTGGGGTGTCATTGGTATCATCYGTCAGCGCTCGTATCCATTGTTTGCGTTGGGCCTCATGTTGAGTTTCATTCATGATTTTATTGCCAACATGAAATTCCACTAGATTGACCACATTTTTCATGTTCATTCGGTGGTGTCGATCAGCGTTTGCTCAAAATTCCTCTGGGTGTGCGGTTGCGTATGTCTGAGCATGATGGAGTTGTGCTCCAAAGCGGCATATTTGTTCTCCCACATTGTGTCMAAATGTGTGGCAACATTGGCATTGTGTCTTGTTTCTGTATTCGAATTTCTGTCAAGTAGGGGTCTCTCCCACTTTGTGAATGATTGGTGTGACTTGTAGGTGAGGGGGTTGTGGAGCATTAGGGTAGTCTAACACTTTTTCCAATAGTGATGTGAGGGAGAGATGGTTAGGTATGGGTGAGTTATCAGCATCCAGGATAGCTCGCTTGTGATTGTCTAGAGCGAATAGGAGGCAATTGCCAGCGGCATAGTTGTAGTTGTCCATTGTTTTGGTTGCGAATTCAAAACAGAGATCCAGGYCGGAGTAGTTATGCCTTTGGGCAAGGCGACTAATGCGGACATGTTCAAGGAGTTTGCSTACATATGTGCCTGGGTCATCTTCCTTTGTCCATTCAGGTCCCCAGCCGGTGGGTGTGGGTCTGAGATAGGTGAGTGAATTCCRAGCAATGGCATATAGTGCCTTATATACCTCCATGGTATGGTCGTAGGGGGACATTAAGCCTCTGATTTTGGTAAGGTGTGTGTCTATCATCTGTGAGAGGCGATTGTGGATGAAAGTGCCTATCTTACGTATATTTGTCTCCGTTTCATTGTGGTCTGGGGGTAGACAGCTATGGTGTACGTGAAGGTTGTCTATGTGAGTGATAGGGAGGCTTTCAAGTGTCATGATGCTGTACAGTTCATTGTAAAGATTGGTGAATTCTGTTGAGGTGAGGTATCGGTTGTCCTGAGGCATAATGTTGGGGTTAATATGCTTGTGTTCCAAGACATTGATGGCTTTGCTGATAYRATGATTACTGGCATGCTCGTAGTCGCGATCCTCTCTAGTTGATCGGGAATTGCGTTGAACAAATGCATTGACACGATCCACACAGGATGCAAACCTGTGAGGGTGTGTGGGAGTGGAGTCGCTTGGATCCTCAATGGGATCATTCGCTGAGTCAGAGTYGTCTGGATCCGAGTCATCTGGGTCCGGAGGTGGACCACTAGCACTATGTTGGTTGAATCAACAGTTCGGTGAGTCTTGTCTGTTATTTGCTGAGCTGTTCCTGCTGTGATTATGCTGGGACTGTGGTTTCGATCTCGGTGCTTGGTGGTGCTTATGAAAGACACCGTGTTCAGAGGCGCCATATTCAGTGGGGTTCTTCAGTATACCAACATTGTGTTGTTGTATGGTTTCCGTTACTTTTGAGAGTAGGAGGGCCTGAAACATCTCCAAGGAGGTTATATAACGGTGGAGTTCATCGTTCATGTTGGTTGTGAACRGTTTGGAGGTGATGAATGTCGTCAGTGAATCTTTGAAGAGGCTTTCGGTCATGATCTCAGCAGATGGTGAGGTTAGATGTTGATTCACTGTGTGTGTAAGGGTTGACTGTGCAAAGGATGCTGCTGTCGCAAGATCTGCCTTGGCATTGGTAGTGTCTTTGGAGATCGTGGCTGTAATGTCCTGTTGTTTAGTGTGAAGTTGAGCAATGAGGTTCTGCGTTGTTTGTTTCACATTGTTCTTGGTTTGGAGAAGGTCAGTGCGGTATTGGTCTTTCAGTGTCTCAAGATGTGTGGTGATTTCACTCAGGGTGTTGTCAAGGACTTTATCTTTAATGCTCTGGATAACCAGGTCTTTTGGTGATCTTGGTGTTGATGATGTCCTTAGCTGTGTTTTCAAGTGTGTCAAGACGGAGTTCGATACTGTTTTCAATCGAGTTACCCAGTTGTTGGAGATCTGTTTTGTGTTGATCAGCAATCTCCTGAAGCTGATGAGTGAGTTCTTTGACAGTGGGTGTCTTTGTGGTGAGGCTGTTGGCTTCATTGCGGATCGCAGTAAGGGTAACTGTTTCATTTCAAAGCGTTGAGAGTACCGTGGATGCTTTCTCTAAGCGTTGATYAAGTGCCCACGAAGTGGACGTGGCTGTACTTAGTTCCTGAGTGAGTTTATTAGTCTGTTCCAGTGCTTGAGTAAGCAGAGTCTCTTGGTGTTTCAGTTGTAACCGAAGGTCCTGAATGACTGTATTGGCWGCCGTTAGATTTATGTGAGTTTGGTTGAGTTCCTCTGTTTTAGATTGAATGGAACGGTCATAGACAGTCCGCATATCCAAGAGAGTATCATTGACGGTATGTAGTTGATGTTTAAGTTCCATGTTTCGTTGGTGCCAGTGTTGCTCTYGTTGAGCAAGTGCCTTGTTGATGAGGTTGAGTATGTGTGTGTTCCCCCCACGGTTACGCGTTGATTTGCTTGATTTTGCTGTGGTATCAACCAAAGACGAGTCGTCTGCTGGAGGCGAGGATTCTTTAGGGCTATCAAGACTGTCCTTAAGTTCCTCGAGCTCTTTGTCAAGTTGGATAAATCCTTGATTCAACTGGTGCAAAGGAGGGGGTATAACTGGAGATTGTTTGTTAGTTCTGGGTGCTGTAATAGCAGCCGGTGGGGAATGGTCCTGTGGTGTTTTGTCCTGCTGTGCTTGGAGATATTCATTATTAAATTGTTGCCGGAGGTTCTTGGGTGGGGGACTGAGTGAGTTATCTGTTGTATCAGAGTCCACACTGTCTGAATCTGTTGCTGTTGGTGGGGATTTAGCTTGGTTCGAAGCCAGTGGTTCGGGGCTTGAGTCGTTGTCAAGGCGGCGTGGAGGACGGGAGCTACGGCGTTTGGGGATGGCTGCAGGGGGTGTTTCCTCCGCGGGTGGGAGGAGTGTATTGAGGTGATCGAGGAAGGCTCTGCTGTATTGGTATCTTAGCAAGTCTTTTTTGTTTGGTGTTGGTGTTGGTGTTGGTTGACGGAAGTGATTGTGGTGGATGAGGTCCTTAAGGTGGTCTCCCAGCATTACAATCTTGTCGGCATCAGAGAGAGTTCTGGTGTGGATGTGTTCCAAGCTATAGGCATAAAGCAAAGGTGACGGTGGTGTCCTTGGTTTGAAGTGGAATAGCGACCCATCGTAGATAGATACTGTTGATGGGAGGGGAAAAGCAAGCTCTAGAGCTCATATTTCGCGTTGGATATTTCCTTCGTATCAAAGGAGTTCCAGTCTGTTGCGTTGGGTCCTGGAGAGCAGGTGTTTACGTGGGGAGGGGATGAGGAAGCTTCTGATTTTAGGAGTTCTTGTTGTCCCCGAGGCTTGGGATGTTGTCAGTGGACGTGTTGAGCGTTGTTGGTGTCTTTTCGAGGATCTGACCATGGTGATCTTAAAGTGACTGTTATCGTGAATAATGGAGTATGTTTGGATTGTGGCAGCTGATGGGGTGTCAGCAGGGTTCGGGAATGAAGTGGAATAGATTGCACCGTAGTATCCTACATGATTTAGTACTAAATATTCATGGAATTTTCACAAAAAGTTCMGAAAAAGATGTAATTCAGGAAGCGATAGTGTGGCTCCCCGGTTCTACAGCAAGAGTAGTAAATCAGACTGCTCGTTTAGGTGACTTGGACTGAAGATGATGAGGAAATGAAGCGGGTAAGCCTTTGGTTGCTCATAACCTGCGAAATGTTACTAGGCTCTCTAGTGCATGTTATTGGGTGTTTACAGTAAAGAGTGAGGAGTGTATTGCAGCTGGCGCTGCTGTCTGTCCTCACTCACGTGATTTAGTTATATGTACGTGATTTGGGTTGGGGTTATTCTCCTCACACCAGGTACTTCCGTAAATTTTTCGCGTTTTACAAAAGTTGCGTCGCACGGTCCGCGCCTAAACCAAAAATGTAACCAGCAATGTACGCACTCTGTTGATGTCCGTCCTGTGTAAGACTCCCTCTCGAAATTGAAATAACATCCGCTTTCCTTAAAAATCAATACTGCCTGTAAGTCGTTGTTGGAGGGCAATTTGGAACAACACAGCTTGATACTTCTACAAGCTAAGCTTCCATATTTTCTTGCTATATACACAAAATGCAACTGAAATTGCATTATCATAATTGCCTCGAGGGCACAGAATATTCCTATTACATAACCCTATGACCCCCCCGAATGGGGTAGGGTTCCTCACAYATATATATTGATGTTCATATCTTTTCCCATCCAGAATTTCCATTTGTCTGTTCTCGAATGAAAAGCAATTTTTTGTGACTTTTTGGAAAATTTCACATGTTCGATATGGAACGCTGCTATGTAAAACTCACTCTAGAAATAGAAATTTCGTCCTCTTTCCTTAAAAATAAATACTGTAAATCGTTGTTGGAGGACAATTCCCGTAACCTGCGAAATGTATGTATGCTCTTTAGTGCCGTATTACGTGTTTACAATAAAGAGTGAGCAGAGTGAGTGTTTGAGCCTATCAGCGCTGTCACTCACTATCTACTCGTGATTTACTACGTGTTACTGCCTCACATCTACAAGCCAAGCTTCAATATTTTTCTGCTTCAACTATGATATTAWTACTGTATTGCATATAWATTGATGTTCATCCTCTATCCTTCAAACCAATATCAAGCATATGTAATATGTTCCAGAACGCGATGAAGCATTGCACGTACATTGAAATTTGAAGCTTGCAACCCCGAAGCTTACAGTTGGACGTCTGACATCATCGGTGGTAAATGGGCAGAAATCTGACACCTTTCATGTCACGTGAACACCGAGGCACTGACAACTCTCATCTCACGTAATGTGAACCACAAAGTAAAGAAGAAATACAGAATAGAACAAAGCTATGAAGACTCAAAACAACAAATACGTACGTAGGTACTTGTTGGAATTCTGACACCATCGGTTGTAAATGAGTGGAAAACTTGATCGAAAAGAAATAACACGAGGAATCATGCAATTGATCGAAATCCCGAATAATATAGAAAGATCAATCCTTGCTCTCACAATCTTCAATGGAGGAGAACACACTCTACTCAACGAACAGGATTTTACTATTATCATCATGCAACTTTCAAGCTTCGTCCTAAAGGTGATGGAAACCTTCGCTGTGGCAACGTTTCTGTTGTCACCGGGCCCCTCGACGCCATATTGCAAGGCCAACGGTGATGCAGAGCAAAGTCGAAAAGACTACTGTGCAGCGCGGTGTTCGGGTGTAAGACAAGCTCCCGCAACCAAAGCTGCACTAATAGATTTGGTGAATTCTGGCACAACTATATCATGTCTCGATGTCAAAAATATTGAAAACATGGATGAACTATTTAAAGATTCAACGGAGTTCAATGATGACTTGTCTTGTTGGGATGTTTCCGCTGTGACAAGCATGAAAAGTATGTTTTACGGAGCCGTTAACTTCGACCAAGACATTAGTGGCTGGGACGTCGGATCAGTAGATGGCATGTATGGTATGTTTYGAGATGCCACTAAGTTCAACCAAGACATTAGTCGATGGGACGTTGGGTCGGTGACAGCCATGGGATATATGTTTAAGGGAGCCACTAATTTCGACCAAGACATTAGTGGCTGGGACGTCGGAAAGGTGATCAGCATGCATTTTATGTTTTCAGTAGCCGCTGAATTCAACCAAGACATCAGTCAATGGGACGTCGGATCGGTGAACAATATGCATGGTATGTTTCAAGCGGCATATGCATACAATCAGTCCCTCGACCGATGGAACATTTCGAAAGTGACTGGGCTGGGYAATATGTTTCTCGCTGCTACAAAGTTTAATCAGTGTCTTGGGTCGTGGCCTGGAAAAGCTCAAAAGGATTTTGGCGACATCAACATGTTTGAGTATAGTGGCTGTGAAGATAAAAGTGACGGTTTACACTATTGTCGTAAGCAGGATGATACGTGCCCATTACATCTTGACAAATGGGAGCTTATTAACCACCGCTGGGGGGCCAACRATATTCACATAACTTCACTGAATCCACTCACTGGACTCACTGGGTTTATTCTTTACGAGTATAACAAAGGAAACAGCGAAGACGTTCAAGTACAGATGTTTCCCATGCCGGACAGCGACARCGTCTCTTGTTCCTCTGGTACGCCCTACAATACCGGGATAGGGAAAAGTTTGAAGGACAATTCCATTTGGGGAGTTGGCAACGGAGAGAAAAAAGTGTATCATGCCACGAAACCATCAGATGTTAGTTCGGAAGAACACAAGTTGAAGCCACTCGTCGACAAAGAGGATGTTGCTGTTGGTGAGTGGTGTAATCTATGTATGTCGACGTGGTTCTCCGACAATTCAGACCAATAGAGTCTTCATTATCTCACTCTCGCTCTCTCTTTGTTTCGTGTGTTTCGTGCTGCATATTGATGGCGTGCAGGAAAAGTCACATTCGAGATCGATGACCTATTTAAAAGGAGCGAAGATGGAGAAAAACAAACTGGCAAACTTTGTGCGTAATTATGCTGTGCTTTTTGTTCGCGTGATGGAGTGTTTCGATACAGTCTGATAGGCAGCTGATGATCTTCTTTTTGCTGCTTTTTACRGCACGCAGGTATCAGAGCTTCCTACATGTGCGGTTCTTGCTTYGAGGGTGCTACTACAGAGASAGACAAATGCTGCAATTCTTGCAAGGATGTAGAAGATGCCTACGAAACAAAAGAGGGTTTACAGATTGCGGATATCGATGATAATATACGCGCCCAGTGCAAGATCCCACAGTATATCTCGTATATCGATTACAAGCTTACCATCGACGTTTGGAAAGCAGACTCTGGTAAATTCAGTACCAGTACCAGAGTTGAAATCTCGGGAACGAGTAGTGTTGCTATGAAGGACGAGGTGGTGGAAGAGGTTGAAGTCGCTGCAAACTTGTGCGATGGTAATACCGGTCCTTTCAAGCTTGGTCAAGACTTTAGCATCTGCATGTCTGTGGGTGCTGGGAATGCTTTAGGTGGCGAGTACTATATAATTGGCTTCAAGAACGTGGTCTGTAAGAATGCTTCTCACACCAGAGAACTTGTTGACGAATCTGGTAGGGTCGTTCAAAGCTCGCTGACCAAATTAAACGAGGATGCCGACAATGGCAACGATTCCTACAAGGGATTCACCAGTGTTGTCACCGCAGGATTTGTTTCAAACGGTGAATCTGAAGAAACTGAAGATTCCTTTACCTGCGAGGGTGGTGTGGTACTGAAACAAAAATCCAGGCGCCGTGATCTCCAAGCCTCCRAAGAGAACGCAGAGGGTTTCTTTGCCTTAGAGATTGCTATCACTTCCGGGTACAATGGGGTGGACGCGTTGGGGTCTACCGCACCTAGTGTTGTAGCGGGACCCCGGGCCATTGCAACCGGAGCCATGACCGTGGCTGCCGCGTTGTTGTAAGTTTCAAGACCTGCCAGCAACCGCTGAGTTGAGTTTCTGTACTATTTTCAAACTTTCGCAAATGGTCAACTTATTTGCTGAGGAGCTTGTATTCCTACTCCTCCATGTTGGCAGCTCCTCCGTATCCTTTGTCCATCC